CTAAGAAAATATCGTATCTGAAAATGTGGTCAGACAATGAATTAGAGAGTCTTGTTACTCTAGTAACAGGCCAACACGATTGTATGTTTATAGGAATGGAAGTAACTGACTTTCAAACGAAAAGTTGTTAACTGAGTGTTCCAAGAATAGTTGTTATCTGAGTGTTCCAAGAAAAGTCTTTATGTGATTGTTCCAACAAAAATGTTGTTATTAGAGTATTTCATGAATAGTTGTTATCTGAGTATTCCAAAAAAAGGTTGTTAACTGAGTGTTCCAAAAACGTTGTTATGTGAGTGTTCCAAAAAAAAGTTGTTATGAGTGTCCCAAGAAAAGTTCTTAACTGAGTGTTCCAAGAACAGTTCTTATCTGAGTGTTCCAAGAAAAGTTGTTATCTGAGTGTTGCAAGAAAAGTTGTTATCTGATAGTTCCAAGAAAAGTTGTTATCTGACAGTTCCAAGAAAAGTTGTTATCTGAGTATTCCAAATAAAAAGTTGTTATCTGAGTGTTCCAAAAAAAGTTCTAAACTAAGTTTTCTAAGAAAAGTTCTTCACTGAGTGTTCTAAGAAAAGTTGTTATCTGGTATTCCAAAACAGTTGTTATGTGAGTGTTCCAAAAAAAAAGTTGTTAACTGAGTGTTCCAAGAAAAGTTGTTATCGGAGTGTTCCAATAAAAGTTGTTATCTGAGTATTCCAAGAAAGTTATTATCTGATTGTTCCAAGAAAAGTTGTTATCTGAGTATTCCAAGAAAAGTCGTTTTCCGAGTGTTCCAAGATAAGTTGTTATCTGATTGTTACACGAAAAGCTGCTATCTGATTGTTCCACGAAAAGTTGTTATCTGAGTGTTCTAAGAAAAGTTGTTAACTGCGTGTTCCAAGAAAAGTTTTTATCTGAGTTTTCCAAGAAAAGTTGTTATCGGAGTGTTCCAAGATAAGTTGTTATCTGGGTGTTCCAAGAAATGTTGCTATCTGATTATTCCAAGAAAAGTTGTTATCTGAGTGTTCTAAGAAAAGTTGTTATCTGAGTGTTCAAAGAAAAGTTGTTAACTAGGTACCAAGATATCTTGAGTTCTCTTGGTGTGGTTCACGTGGTAATACATTTATCTGAGCGCCAGGTTCTGAGATAGATTGTTTACTAAGTGTTCTAAAACTGTATGACTGGTTGTTAATTTAGTACTCTAGGAAAAGTTTTTTCTAGTGTTTTGAGAAAAGTTGTTAACTGGGTGTTTTTAAAAAAGGTTGTTTACTGAGGGGTTCTAAATAAAGTCGTTAACTATAAGTACATGTAAACTATACTCCAGGAAAGCTGTTTACTTAGAAAACTATTTAAGGTACTTTCAGATGAGAAGTTAACCGAATGGGCCAAAAAGTTGTATTTTTGTTGTAAGCAGCGAATATTGTATAAGGATTTGTTTGAAATAATGTTATAGTCAGATTGTATATATGCAGTAAACAATTTATCGTGTAAAGTTCAGATACAGATACCTGAGAGAGAATATCATGAGGAAGCGTAAAGTAAATGAAATGAACAATGATGGAAAGCTGAATATGGGCAGTGAATGGTGATTAACAGAAACAAACAAAACAAAGATCGAAGTAAATACTAAGTACTGGTGCCGCGGGAGGTTATAATTGATTACTCCTGCGACTCTTGTGCTTACTATGTCAAGCGATCAATAACATCATAGACTTCTTCAAACCAATTTGAATATACCTTTCACAGAAAGCCAAATTTACCAATTATTTAATGTAGAAATTATAATGCAACAAAATCAGTTCTTTGAATATCAAAAAGTCGGAGGTCGTTAAACTGGTCACATATGTTTCAATTTCTATCTGAATCTATATCCAGAGTTTTATGAATTATATGATATTTGCACGACAATAACATGGCTGATTATTACATCAATATTATATTAACTTCTAAAATCTAAATATCCACTGACCACAGGTTTTATGGACATTTCATTTCAAAGAATTCCAAATATTGTGTCATACATGCCCTGCCTGTCTAGTGACAACTATGAATGCTCTGGATAAACTCATAACAATCGTTACAGTTCAATTTCATAGGTTAATAATGCAGGCACCATAAATACAAATGTTGCCAAAGAATTCGATTTTGGACCATAAATCATATATTATGTTAATATGTTGATATCAGTTTATGTCAAATGCAAATTAATTTCGATATGTTACCTAATGGTTCACATAAAGAGCTAACAAATCACAAATTTGATCAGATGACGCCATCGAGTCATATTACAAAATTTAATATCAATATTGAATTGTTCAGTTTTTCGGAATGGAAGGCAAGACAGAAGAACATGTGTCAAGCCATGTTCTTGTTTTTTTTTTTAATATCTGATAGACCTTTTATGTATATTCTTGTGTTTTGTTATTAAAATATATAGGGTATGCCTATTGCCTATAGGAAACTGTGTGGGATGAGGGTGCGGATGGTTTGTGAAAAGGAACCGCAGAATTTTTCATTGTACAGTTCGCATTTTGTGATGTCATATAATATTTCACCAGTAAAGAATTCAGTGGATCAAACTTGATCTATTGTGAATTTGTTGATTGTTCTACTTATTTGTTCTCTTAGGGTCTTCAGCAGTTTGACTGAATTGGAACCGGGAATTGTACAAATTGATGCCACAAGTGTCTCCAATAAACATAAAATAAGATTAGACAAATGTCTTCAATCCCTTTTAAAAGGTATAGTTCTGTTGACTTAGCTTGAAACAGTTCTTGTAATATTTACCGCACAAACCAATGATTATACTGAAACATTTCAACAAAACCATACCAAATTAAACCTCTTTCCAGATATCATTGACAGGGCCATAACTAGGGTATTTTTTCTCTGAGGCAGCTGCGACACAACGCAACGCTTTCAAAGCACTTTAAACCGTAACCATCTTAAAGGTACGTTCACACTAGCACGAAATTCCTTGCGAACAGCCAAGCAAATTCGTGAATTAAAACTAAGAAAATACCTGTAACGATTTTATTCCCCTGAACGAAAAAAATGGGTCCGATTGCCATTTACCCGAATTCAGTCCGGTGTGGTGTGAACGGATGTATGTCCTATTTATTATCTCCATCTGCTCGCAAATTCGTTACTAAATTCCGTTTGCTGTTTCGTGCTAGTGTGAACGCACCTTAACTGTAGACATCAAATAGACGATACATTTTACATCATATTTATATTCTTAATTTTTAAAAAACAAAGTTCATTGTTTGTTAAATTCTGCATTGATGTATTTACGGCCTTAGATTGATATACACTGTTTCAACAAAATCGAACGAAGTTTGCTGTTTTCCATAAGAAATGTAGTTGTATGAAGAGACAAATAAACTAACAGACAGAAATATGTACATGTATGTGTAGTTGTATATGTATGTGGTTATACACAGCGCCGTTAAGAATGTTGTTCATTCATTATTTCCGATCATCATTAAAACTAAAACGGAAGAAAACCAAACATATATAACCATCCGTTTACTCTGCAGTAATCGTGGGTCAAAATAAGGCAATTTTAGCACTTAAAAGCATAGTCCAGTGCTTTAAAATTAGCGGAAATTTGACCGTTCTCTCATATAAATCGATAAGGATCTCTCATTATTTAAGCTAGTTGACCAGGCAAGATAAGGTTGGCCATAGCTGAATCTAAAAATGATACAGATATTCAAAGGAGTAAATAGACTGTAAGACCAAAAAGATAGCCATGCTACCTGGCACGTACGGCATTTTCATTAAATGTCGAATTTTGAAATCCTAAAATAAATATGGAGGATAACCTTTACCCTAAAAATCTATATACTAAAAAATGAAAAATGATGTCAAAACCCTTTAGAATTCTTGGGCTTAATATGAAATATTTCAAATGCTAACAATAATAACATATTATTAATAATAAATTTATATGAACATAATTAAATACTAAGATAAATATTCATAATTTTCAACATACTCATACATAGTATACTGTATATATATACAGTGGTGTAACCTATTTTCGTGCATATAAGGATTCAACACCGAATTACGTCAAAATTAAAAAAAAAAAAATTTTGTCTTAGATATTTTCTCAGATATTCTACAGAATAATTAAAATTGGTTTGTTTCGATTTTCTCTATGATTCTCTCACTTTGATTCATATTTCATGTGTAACCAACTCGACAACGGCGGCAAAATACGTCACCTATTTTCGTGTACAATGTTTGATTTATAAATAAGTCGAGAAAAACACGCCGATGGATACCCAGTGATATAATAAACTTCTCTTAGTATTTATCTTTAATATCAATTCATTATACCTAGTGACAATTCCTTCAAAAAACAATGAATTAGAAAAAAAATAGTGACTGACAAAATAAGATACGTAGCGTGATTTATTGCTAAAAGTCACTGATACAACATAAGAATATGGCCCACATTGTATTCCATAGAATTTTTCTGCTGACACGGAATCCGCAATTTGATCACGTGACTTCTTTCGTTGGACTACGTTCAAGCAGACGACACTTGTAATTTTGATTACCGCTAGGGATAAGGAAATTCGACTGATAAAAAATTGTCACGTTTGGTAATGACTGAAATCCGCCATTTTGTATTTGTCAAATTATACATTAATACATTTTACCTTGCTTGAAACTACTGGATTCACTCTACTTGCTGGCATTGTACAAATAACCCAAACAAGCAAATGGGGAGGTCACGCGAGGTCGCACATGTACATTATCAATCATTTCCGGAGATGCACGAAATTAGGTTACTTGACTGTAGTCAAATCATTTTCTCCATATGCATATCAATTAGGTTGCCGTGACTTTGTCAACCAGTTGTCTCTGACCATATTAATCAGGTTGTTATTTTGAAATGTTGGACAGGATGTTGATTAGAAGTCTTATTAAATAAAAGTGACCACTATATTGTAGAATATAACTAATCTAATTGGAATGATGTGTTTTATGGAATAGAGTTTTACATTTATATATTATCCTCTTTCACATATCAAATCAATGACCTACAATATAAAATAACATACTATATAGAAATAACATTCCAGAATTTAATTTTAAATAATTAAAATAAGAGTTAAACAATATGACATCAAATATATGATCTATATCCTGTTTTTACCATTTCATACCAACAACAAAAAACTAATGAATTCAATTTGAATATTACAGATTGAATCAAAGAAAAACACAATTTGAGAATATATTTTTATTCATGGTCTGTATTTGTAATACATATGTTGCATATCTTATTATAAATTAACTAGAGGAAATGAGGACAAGAAGTTGTGATATGTTTGTAATTCTGAGATAGGATATAATAAATATGTGATAAATAAAAACTTACACTTTGTTCCATCATGATAGGATCTAGACAGCGATGCATTGTACTACAAACAATTTCATCTAATAATACTTGTACTAAACTGTAATAGATAACAAATATTAACATGTAACCTATTTCACACCAAACAGTTCTTGATCTTAAAACTTAAGACATAAAACTGCTACTTTCAATGCAATTGTCATCCTCAAAACATGCTTTACATTGCCTTTACACTACAATATAACCAATCAAATAAATTGCCAATAAAGATTTAGTTTGTCTTTTGGTTAAATTTAGGTTCACCCTGATTCTATTCATTTTTGTGGGCACCCAATTTTGTTTATTTGTCCTCAACAATATAGTTGTGGGGGAGTTAATTCAGGATTCAACTTTTCAATAGTATTTTTGATTGAACGTGAACACCTGACACCGCTCTCTAATAAGATTGTGAAAAAAACAGGTGAATGCACAGTAGAGAATAAATTTCATGAAAATTAGCAATATCAAAGGAAATTACATTCGATCATGTAATTAATAAGAGCACATAATTTTGCAGATTTGACAAATTAAACTCAAGGAATTCAACTATTTGCTAATGGAAATTTCCACATAATAGGTTTATAGAATTGATATCTGTTGAATATCTGTAAAATAATTTGTCAAATTATTCATAAATTAATGCATTAGGTGAAGCGTAGAAAAGATATTATATAGTATGAAATAATGACTATGGTAACATGTGGATAAACTACTGAGTATAATTCATTGAAATTCAGTCTGCCATGAAAAAAAATTAGAAATGCCACATTGACAAAGTTGAATATGTTTTGAATATATTCATTGATCACTAGGATATAAATAAATATAAGTTAACATTGTCATATCATATTTTTTTTGCATTAATGTCAATAGAGGGAGTTACATATTATTTGTTGGTACTTGTATATTTTTTTAAAACAGTTCAATTTTTAGAATTTTCACTACTGCTCTAACTTGAAGAACTGACAGAATTCATGATCTGGAAGTTTAAGAACTATTTCAGGCCTAAAATGCATGCAAGTTTCAGAATCTCTATCACACCAAGAATCCTATTACACTGATTACTGGAGTCTCGCTGAATTTGTGAAAAATCATTAGAAAACAGTTACTATCTCAAACCTTACCAAACATCAAAGCATTTTTGGGGAATGTTTGATTATTGAAATCATATTTGAGGTGTCTAGAAAACCCTACAAACACACCCAATCTTATTTCTTGTAAAAACACACTACTCACATTATGTCTATTTGTAAAAAAAAAATCTCAGTTCAAAGATTATTTTCAGATCACAAAAATTAACTATTGAGTTATCAGTATAAAAATATCCCAACATTGGAAGAAAATATCTTGCACTAAAAATGATATATAACTTATTCGTATTATGAAAGATCAGTGCCCTATAAGCTACTAACATGATAGGGAAATAAATTTTCTTTTTGCGCAATTTACCAACATTCCACACTGGCCATGCGTTTCATCTGCATTGTCTTAGTCCACTCTATTAAAAATATTATTTTAAATTTATATTGAACTATTAGTGTGACATGCAGTTTTTGGAAAGTGTATTTCTAACAAAGGTTCATTTATAATATTTTAATGGACTTAAGAAATCTATAAGAAATAATAAACCACTGTAGGTCTATATTGTATATAAGAGTATTTATAACTAGTGAATATAATAAGTTATAGGTATAGTTATGTTATTATGTTAATGTAATGTAATGAAACATGATGTAATCTATATATGAAATCATCAATACATACTTCTCATCACATACAAATCTCCATAAATATAGCTGTAAATAGTGTGTATCAACTTGTATTTGTTGTAAACCATAACGACCAAATGTACGTAATCTGACACATTCTAAAAATGTCTGAAAAAATTTAATGAGACCCAACATTACTACATAATTGTAGATTAAATAAATTTAACATTGTAAATTAATTCTATTACTCTGGTATAAAAAATATAATAACTGCTAGAACTGTTGGTAATACATCACTACCATTTGCATGCTATTTTGTCAACTGACCATGTCAATATATTCACAGAAAATTGAGTTTGATCTCACAGACTCCAACATTATTGGCAAATTTAGCAGTCAAATCAAAAATTAACAGGCCAGTATAACTTAATTATTATCCGTACAATAAAGCATGTTCAATAAAAGTAAGCATATGTAATGGCTTGATTAATATCTCAAACCCATACACCATTGCTTTTATGAACATATAATAAAACAGAATATCAATCATATACTTCAAACTGTATTTATTTTCACATACCCCATCAATTGTACCTACCTTTAAACTTATCTTTATAATTCCTGTTAATACAGAAACTTTGGATGATTCCACTGAACTAAAGATCTCTATTTTCTCAGAGAATAATTTCTGTATGTTGCTGATTAAACTGTTATCAACACTGAATATATAGAAAAACAGATACGTTTGGTACAAAGATAAAAGCATTGTAATGCTCCGTAGAGATATGTTCGGTAATATCTTAAGAAATATGCTTTGTAGGCTACAGTTGTAGTTGCAAATGGTAAGGAGGTAAAAATATAGACAATCTTTCCATTTTCAAATATCTTAATAGAAAATATAGAAATTTACCTAGGAGAATAGCTCCAGGGTGGTTTACGTTGTTGTTGAGATTGACTATAGGTATGTGTTCTACGACTAGAATCACTACTACGCTCTTTACGTACACCTTCTTCATATAACTGACCAACTTGTACATCAATATAGGTTATATCTTCTACAACACGTTTCATGACAGCACGAACATTACGGGGTTCTATAGTATTTAACCAATCTCTTGTCTCTACACTCTTTCTTAACATCTGTCAAAAATAAATAAATCAGTATCTCAATGAATCAATATTAATGAACAAATAAATAAATAAATAATCAATAGTATTCTACCATCTTAGTATCTATAGAATGTGGGAACAAAAAGCTGATATACCAAAGGTTAGTATTTTGAAGATGAACACAAAAAGTCAATGTTTTAATCAATAAATTTCAATAGCTTTCTGGCAAAAAAAAAATGCAGTTTTATATCACATCACCACATGGCATGACTGCAGAATTTATTATTGTCAAACTGTAAAAGTTTATTCTAATGGGTATTTTTATGCTATTTATTACAGTAATATGAAATTATAACTTTACTAACAGAAATAACTGTTGAAAACTATTAGTAAATGAAAAGAAAACAAACCTGAGAGATGGTCAAACCTTGGACTCTAACATAATGATTTAATAATTTTTGAGCTGTTTCTTTAGCCCATAATAACATTTCAGATACTAATGTTGTATTACTCTTATCTACCACTAAAAACTGTTCTTCTGTTAAACTAACCTACAATAAAAAGCTAGCAGTGCAGATGTAGTACATGAGTTTACTGTTCTACCCAAATTATATAGCATGGATTGGTCATCACTGTTAACTAAAATTGACCAGGTAGTTATATATTATTTTCAAATTTATACTCAGAATCATATTCTTTTCACAAGGATATTTGAATTCATATTGGTTATAAATGTTCCAATTGCAGCTTTTACAATCAGTCAGAGTGGACAAATTTCACAAGTTCAATTATTCAAGTCTATTCCCTTTTCCATATCATTTATTCATATTGTATAAATTAGGTTTACCAGACATATAGTAACCTTGTTAAGTGTTCCTTTTAATATACATGTAATAGAAATAATAATTATCAATACTGACACATTGTGATACTGTTTACACCTGTCACTCAATTAAAATAATAGAAGATTTTCAAACCTGATACTTACCAAATATGAAATAGATGTTGTTTCTAGATCTGATGAATATTTAGCTAATATTAATAATAAAGATGGTGGAATAGATCCTTTTTCACCAACGCATTCACAAAAATCCTGAAATAACAAGATTGAACACTTAATAAGCCTGAAAACATAAAATTAGAAACATAAGCTCGATTGAAAAACATAACATGATTGAAAAAATAAACAAGATTTCGTTTTCATGACACAAGTCTTTGGAATCTTTCTGATTAAGGAACAATAGAAAAAACATTTGACAAATTGTGGTTAATGACAGACTTACATTACAAGTAGTACAGATATGTTTTATAAAGGAAACAATCAACCCTTCTCTAACATCTTGACTACAGAATGGTCCACGGAAATATGGTTTCATAGCAAAGGTTATATCTGGAGCTGTAAATGCCTGCAAATAATAAAACATATCTGGACATATATTCTCTACAAAAGAATAATGGTACTTGCAATATCTGTACCAATTTTTGTATCCTACAATCTACATAAAAGTTTTAGATATAAAATTTCTGTTATAATATCACAGGAAGAAGAGTATAAGATCTGATTTAAATAAATTAATATTATAACCCATCTTAACAATGTCAAACTATTACGAAATCCATATTTATACCTTGACTGCAATAGTCATTTTTCTTGTATCATGGAAGTTTGTAAATGAAGTGATTTGATAGCATAGAATGCTAGCCAATACAGCCAATCAGAGGCTTAGCACACAAAGCTATAATGTTTACATCCTTTTTGTTGAAGATTCTGAATGGCTGTATTCACAGGCATGCAATCTAATCAAATTGAAGCATTCATGAATACAAGAATAGTGGCTATAGTACTAGTTAATCTAGATTATAAAATAACTTACTTGTAAGTTATTCAAAACAGATCTGATTTGGTCCATAACAGATGATTGCATATTAGTTAATAATTCAGCTAGATTAGCTGCTCCATCATGTTTACCAGCTGGTCTAGGAGCTGCTAATTTCTGACGTATATCAGTCATGCAATCTGCAACAGAATAAACAGTCTTATAATAAACCTTTTGTTCAATCTTAGATATTCTTTAAACACAAGATGTTGAATAAGATATAGCTATAAAACCATTAGAAAACAAGTTTCTCTAATGACAAAACATAACTCATATCCTTATGATCTTTAAAAATCTCTACAAGTTCCTAGATTTTCAAGATAAGACAAACAAAGAGAGGGATATATGATAAACTTTCTTACCAGTAAAATGTTGTTTTAAAGCCAATAAATAATGTTCTACCCTATCTCTAGCAGCTTTAGATACAATCTCTAATCCAGCCCTACAATACAAATCAAGTACTTATACCATAATACTGTCTGTACCATTGTCTGACATTCTTCAACTAAATTATAAAACCTGGTTCAAAAAGTAATTGAAACTTCTCTGTTGATTTCATATTTTTTTAGAGTATTTGCCAAATTACTTGATATATTTGAAACATCCGTAGTATATAAATAAAACACTATTATGGATATACTACTCCTCTTTAATTTAAGCAACGTTTCAATTCGTATACAGGATTCTTTTTCAAGCAATGTTCTAGTAGAGTAGTATATCCATAATAGTGTTTTATTTATATAATGTTCTATCTACTTCTAAATGTCATTCAAGGATTATCTGTAGTATATTCTAGAAGCAGTGTTTAACAACATGTTATGGTGAAAAAATTTCAAAATCAGACTTTTCTTGCAATAAACAATACCAAGATTATTCCTGTTTTTAGGAAATTGTCATCCTCCTTTAATACTGGAAACAAAATGAACTAACCTAGAGAAGTCTGTATCAGGTAAAAGTTTATTCATAGCTTGTAATCTACGATGAAATCTATCTAAAGCTCTTACTAGTATAGCATTATCACCAGTTTCTTTCTACAAATAACATAATATCCTTAAATACACACAACCTATCACAAACAGATAATCATCAGAGATTAAATAGCCCTCTATCTTGACTGTGTTATTGTTTTTCCCATCCAAAAGAAGTAAATAATAATACATACCTCAAGTTGAACTCTTCTTTGAACATAATTAAAATACTGTTCCATTAAATCAGTTACAAAAATAAACAATTTTCTCAGAGCAATGGTATCTAAATTCTCACTGTAAATATACATAATTTTACATCAGGAAACTCAAAGCAGATGGACTATACATTTCCTCAAATTTCAGCAGAAATAATCTCTTTTGTGCATGTTTTTGCATCATTTCTTAATGTTTCTTTAACATGATAAACCAATGGCCAATAATAAAAACAATCTCTACTTACTCATCCTGATATCTGTTAAGAAACATATCTTTATAAGATGCTATAACTAAACATATATTACTTAAATAACCATTACAACCATTATCTACAAATTCTAATATATCCTAAAATGGAAACATATACTTCTGACAGGGCAATCTTAGGAGGAGGTTGTTCATGGATTCATGGAACCGACCAGATGTTCAATTAAACAATTTGAAACAGGATTCAGAATGCGTTCCACCTGTGTCGAAAATAGGAGGAGTAGACAGAATTAGAACAGATACAACCTGTTCAGAACTAACCAATTAAGCGCAACCCATGTGTTCTTACTTGTTACAATCTTGAATCAAACTTTATCTTTGATCATAATCAAGATGTTTAATGTTAAAATCACACTTACCATAGGAGTATTAAGATAAGCTTGTGAAGGTCGTTCTAAATCTGTAGCAGTTATTTCACCAGCTTGAAGTTTAATCTGATGATCCAAAACATTCAAATCTTCATCAATTTTTTGTCGAGCACTGTAGATAACAATAGGTGAAATAGGTCTTATGACAAGCAAAATTTGAACAGAATACAGCAATCATATTTATTCAAATTTTATTTCATTTCTATTACTATTGATGCCATAAAACCTTACTTAACAGAACTTTAAAAGCTTTACTCAAAACTTTGACTAATTTAAACCATACAAATGCTATATTCAGTAAATGCTTTTAATACAAAACAACTCTGTCACTATTTGCTACACAGGATTAAGGAAACAGAAAGTTTTAAAAGTATGAAACAAAACTCTCTACGTAATCAGATCTAAAAGAGTACAGAAACTTACTGAGACAGAAATTCATCACATAAACTTTCTGGTGGTTCATTTAATTGTAATAATAAATCAACACATTCTGCTAATTGTTTGGGAGAAGACTGAAATATAAACAAAATCCTAATCAAAATAGTCAGTCTTCATAAGCATGATCTTGAATAAAAATAAGACATAAGACTCCAATCCTTTCATCAACTACTGAAATACATTGGTTGGTTTAAAGATTCATCTGACAAAAATTATTATAAACAGAATATATTTTAAATGGGAATTATAGTAAAATAGTCAAAACAACTTAAGAATAATGCTTGTGTTTTTGTATTAAATATATTTGCCAACATTTTGGCTAAAGGGACAACACTCTCATTCAGTTAAACAGTTCACAATAAATAGTTGGACTCACTCCACTAAAACATTTTATACAAATGTAGTCCAGGTCATTTTTAGAAATCTTCTTTCTCTCTCCTTTTTGGGGTTTTTGCATGCCTATTTTTGAGTAACTTTTGGTCTAGATTTTGATTTTTGGAATTTGATGTCTGAAATTACATTATCTTTAAGATTTGGTGAGATGATGAGAGACCTAAAGGTGGAAGGCTAATTCTAAAAATAGTCATTCTGTGAACTGCTAAACTGTATATATAGACACAGGTTTATGGAACAACAATCACTGGTTAAAGTTTTATGCAACGTTTCGACTCTAGCGGATGAGTATAACCGGTAGTAGTTTACTTTAAATTTTAGTAGCTCAAAATTTTCATGGTCATCATAAATTGAATTTTTCAGGAGACGTTGAGGATTGGTCAGGCTTTCATTCGACATATTAGAAAGCTTTCAAAGAGGTTTCGGGAAAAAGTTGTAGAAGGTTGAATTTCACGTTTTAACATGGGAAGAGATGGAAAATGAATTAGTGGAGTGAGTCCACATGTCAACCATCATGGCGGATTTTAATTAAAGATCTTTTCATCCAGACGTGTTCAAATAATTCATGCTCTTTAAATATCAAATTACGATCATGTTCGAGTCCAGTTAACAAAGTATGAAAAATTCTCAAGTTGAGCCTACATAGCCATCTGTACCTCTTTATCTTTAAATTGTTGTCTAAGTTGTTGACTGAGTTGTTCTATTATAATATTACAATCACTGTTTATACCCTGGAAACTAGGCATATGTTGATATTGATGTAACACTCTCTTAGCTTTAGTATAATATCTAGAAATATTCAAATATACAACAAGAGTTAAAGATTGTCCCAGGTAAAGAAAACCCTTTTACTGGAGGATCACTTATAGACCCAATGAAGTACACAAGACAAGAGTTATTCCCTTTAATGACATTACTATAAAATAGTTAAAAAAAAAAAATGCAGAATGTTATTAAGCTATTTTCATAAGAGAAAAGACATCAACAAAATTTTAGCTCTAATACTTGATAAGCACATATTTTACACTACAGGTACTTAACAGAGTTGCAAACACAAACCTGACAGCTTGACTATAAGCTTTCATATCTAAACACTTCTTTAATCTTGCTGGCAATTCAAATAAAAACTGCAACTGAAATTCAAAATCAAAATATTCTTTCAAATTATCATTAGTAGGTTCCAGTACCAACAACTCTCTCTTATGCTGGCCTGTGCATAAGGCATCATTGCACTAAAATAACTGTTGTATGTCTATATGATTTGACTCTAATAACTCATCCATTGGAAAACACCAATATTTTTCATGTATTACCTTTTTTAATAGTGAATGAACTCCAGCTAATTTTGTTATTTGTTGTCTACGGTCCTGTAAAGTACTACTAATATTACCACTAAACTCTGTTATTGCTGACATATTAGTAGCTAGGTGGTCCATTTCATCCTCCATCTTTTTAAAATCATTCTTCATCTACAGATAAAAACACAACGTTCTTTTTGATACATTATTTGCTGATCATAAGTATCAATATTTACCTTTCAAGATCTTGTTAAATTCAAAATGCCATGTCACCCTTTTATCTATCCCTTAAGTTAATGGACAAATGTTTCTTAAAAAAAAGTTAGGTATACAGTCTTCTAAATATTTTCTGTACCATGTTAAAGAGCTCATTTTTCAGCTATTTGTATCACTTTTCTTCAAATTTCAGGCATAAAAAACTTGAAATCATGCTGGCTGGCAAAGAAACTATATCTCTTTATATAGGAAGAGATCCTACCTTTCGAATTGTATCAGTAGCACTAATAAATTTATTATAATTCTCATAGACTAAAGTCTGCATATCACTATCTAATGCCTTAATCTGTCTGACCATTTCATTTTCTTTATCCATCAACTCTGTTAAGGGTTTTTCTCTAATCAATTTATTGAGATAAATATCTGGTTTAAAATGGGCTCCATTGATATCACATGGATCAACTGTACTAGCTCCGGGATTTTCCCCTTCCACACCATAATACATTTTCAATATTTCATGTTTTTTTCTCCTGCCATCAGGCTCATTGTTATCTGTAAAATACATAATTCAAAGAAAACAAAATTTTTACACATTCAACCCTTCAGTAGACTTGTGGCGGTAAATCAATAGCCTAAGGTGTGACTTAAAGTAATAAATGCCTGAAAAAGTTAGCAACCTGTGACTGTAGATTTAGATGTATGTTGCATGAATTATGAACTATCAACTGGTCTGCTGGAACCAGGAATAAGGATCAAACCCACCATGCCCTCTCTTCGACCACTGTGGGCTCGGAATTCGATTTTTCTTACATTTCACAAATATTCAAAAGAAAGGTATTAACTAAAACTTTTTTTTTGTCTTAGAATATCTTATACAGTGATGTAACCTATTTTCGTGGATATAAGGGTTCAACACCGAATTTCGTCAAAGTTAAAAAAACAAGAAAAAATTGTTATGTCTTAGATGTTTCCTCAGATATTCTACAAAATAATTAAAATTGGTTTATTTCGATTTTCTTAATGAATCCTTCACTTTGACCCATATTTCATGAGCAACCAACTCGGCAACGAATGCGTTTCCGAAAATCCACGAATAACAGGTTTCCACGAAATTAGGTTACTTGACTGTATGTCTAAATAAACACAATTCCCACCCAGAAGTTTCCAATTAAAATGACATATGTCAGACTTTATCCTCCTCTGTAAATTCTTAATGCTACAATCAAGTAACCTAATTTCGTGGAAACCTATTATTCGTGGATTTCCGGAAAAGATTAATAATTTACATGAGCGACCTTGCGCGACCTCCGCATTAGTTTGTTTTTACAAACATGGGTTTTCTCTACAATATCAGCTAGTAGAATGAATTCAGTAGTTTCAAGCAAGGTAAAATGTTTTAATGTATACTTTGAGAAATACAAAATGGCGGATTTCACTTATTACCAAACGTCACCATTTTTTATCGGCCGAATTTCCTTATAATCCCAAGCGGTAATCGGAATTCCAACTGTCGTCTGCTAGAATATATTCCAACGAATGAAGTCACGTGATCAACTAGTGGATTCCGTGTCAGCAGAAAATTTCTATGAAACACAAAGTGGGCCATATTCTCATGTTGTTTCAGTGACTTTTAGCAATAAGTATCTTATTTTGTCAGTCGCTATTTTTTTTTTAAATCGTGTTTCTTTGAAGGAATTGTCACTAGTTATAATGAATTGATATTAAAGATAAATACTAAGAGAAGTTAATTATACCACCCGGTATCCATACAACGTGTTTTTCTAGATTTATTTATAGATCAAACATTGTACACGAAAATAGGTGAGGCATTCTGCCACCGCTCATGAAATATGGGTCAAAGTGAAGGATTCGTAAAGAAAATCGAAATAAACCAATTTTAATTATTTGGTAGAATATCTGAGGAAACCTCTAAGACATAATTTTTTTCCCTTTCTTTTAACTTTGACGAAATTCGGTGTTGAATATCCTTATATCCACGAAAATAGGTTACACCACTGTATATAATGATTTTTTCATTGGATGTTATTTTCATAAACATGACGACAATATTAATTGAGATTGATTTGAATTTCATGCCATTCTCTTTCAACAGTATTCTCAAGAATAATAGGCATTCTAAAGAATAAGCGTGTAAAAAAATCTACATTCGTTAAGTCTAACAAGCCCCCGAAATGAATTCTACAATATGATTATCTTGAAAGTAAGTTTACTTTCAGAAAAATAATACAACCTGTGGCACCGGAAGCCATTTTGGTGCATAATGATGATGTCGCTTATATCAGTAGACTATAGAAAAGATATGATCTAAATATCTATAGCGAGATTCTAAATGAAAAAGGCAATACATTTATCAAACACTAATAATAAGACTATTGCGGGGGGAAATCATATGAAAACCAATCTAATTCACATGTTTTGTCATGAACTCAAGCGACCCGGAAGTCAATCTGTCTGCAGTTTCACAGAAGGTGTCAAAATTCTTTTTTTAATTTTTCACTGACTCTACCATGAAATTTAAGCACTCTTAATACTTTGAGTTTTGATATTGATGACAAGAATTGAAACGATAGATCAAGAATCTATGCATTAAGTTAGTTATTTCCTTTAAGAAGTTAAGTTATTATAATCAATAGGCTATTGGATTGGATTGTTAGGCCCCATTAATAATTATTAATTTATTAGTCATCCATCAAGTATGCCTGTTCAGCAGATATTTTCAGTCCATACTCATGAGTGCAATTGAATTGAATGATTTTATCTCACCAAATACTTTTATCTTCTATCAAATTTTGTTGTTTATATTTCAGAGATGGCAGAAGGGAAACCAATGAAGGTTGGTTCCCGTGTGGAAATTACTGGAAAGGGTATATTGGGAACAGTAGCGTACATTGGACAGACATTATTTTCTGCAGGTTTGTAAAACATTTGAATGGTACAATTGAGTCCAGCAACTCAATGAGTGTCCAATTGAGGATTATTTCATTATAGAAGAATACAATGTGCAGATGAGTGAAAATCAAACTTAAAAAAAATCAGACAAATTCTCACATTGCAAGGATAGACAAGATTTTAGTCCTCACAAAATTTTGAGTCAACAATGTAAAGAAACTATCATGAACTTTGATCACATTAGAATGTTTTTGTAGGAAAATGGATTGGTGTAGTTTTGGATGACCCAAAAGGTAAAAATAATGGAACTGTTCAAGGCAAGACATATTTTTCCTGTCCTGATAATTATGGTATATTTGTTAGACAATCTCAGGTAATTATCTTTTCTATTCAACTTCATTTCATTGACTCTGAAAATATAAAGTATTTATTTATTTATTATTTAGATCTGGGGTAGATTCTAGAAATGTAGAAAAAGATTTTTGATGAATTAGATGAGACTTTCCCGTTTTTGACATTTCTTCTAGAAAAAGGTGTTTAATTAGACCTGTCATAGCACAATTATGTTTTGAAAGATTAAGATCATATTTTAATAATTATTTGGTATTTGAAAGATTACAGCTGTAGATGGAGGTAATGCAGGAGAGCCAGCTCCACCTACGCCTGCTAAGGCACCAGCACCTGCAGCTGCGACACCTAAAGCTGCAGATAAAACTGAAAAGAGACGATCTCTTATTCGCCCACCAAGTCTAGTTGGTAAAAGTGAGTGGAAGTTTTACTCTCTCTTTAGCCTGATTGAATTCTTCATGGAATGGTTGGTTGAAAATCAAAGTTTGATACTGATATTAATGATATAGCCACAGATTAGGGCTGGGCGATATTAGTTCAAGTTGATATCACAATATTATATCACGATATGGGTATATACATCGCAATATTTTTTAAGTTTGTTTTTTACTGGTTTTTAAAACAAAATTATGATCTAGAAATATTAAATGTAACATAAAAACAATAAATATCTCTATAAACACCCCACTCTTTAACATCATGAAATAAACATCTGTTTCAAATATTAAGTTACTAGTTAAAATTGTGTAGGTGATCTTATCTGGACAAAAATTTGATAATTACCATATATTTTATATAGTAGAATTTTACCAGAATTTTATAGTAGAATGATAGTATTTTTTAATTAGGCGATATTATTAACAATATAAATTCCTATACCGGTATTTATCGTGATACCGGTATATCGCTCAGCCCTACCACAGATTTTATTTAGTAGAACTGAATGGTCACCAAAATCATATCACTTTTCTCTTTGTAGGTAATGAAAATTTAGCAGATGCTGCTGCTAAGACTCCAGCCAAGCCAAGAGCTAGTCCCGACCCAGGTCAGACTCCAGCTAGAGAATCTAGTATTCCCAAATCTAAAATACCTGGATCAGATTCACCTGCCCCTACTAGTACTGCCAAACAAACACCGGCAACCTCGAGTACTCCCAAACAAACACAGGCACCTACAAGTACTGCCAAACAAACACCAGTTCCTACAAGTACTGCCAAACAAACACCAGTACCTATAAGTACTCCCAAACAAACACCAGCTCCTACAAGTACTCCCAAACAAACACCAGCTAAATCAGGTATTGCTAAAACATCACAACAACCTAAAGCAGCTGCAGCTGAACCTAACCCTAAGCCAGCTCCTGAAGTGAAGTCTAGTCCTGCTCCTGCTTCAATCTCACCACCACAGGTCAGTTTATTTTGTGGCTAAACAATATTGCTATATGGGATGAAATCATGGCTAGAAAAAATGGTTTATAATTTTTACAAGTTAATTTTTGTTTGAATTCTCAATGACTTCTTGGATTACACATAAGTTCTAGGATAGTGCAGGGAATAATTACCTAAAAAATCAGTTATCGCTGTTAATATATTCTACTAAGACTAAACTAAAGTCTTGATTCTATTATGTTCTTCCATTTCTTTGATTGTATATGATCATAACAATCATTAATGAAATTTGCCTTCCATTATTTTCTCATTCACAATAAATTAGTACAAATATTAGTTATTATGCATATATAATTAACTGCATATAGGTACCGATATTCCAGCATTACTTTCACTTTATTTTTCACACGATTGTAGTTGGCTTGGTTGTCAAGAACCATTCATTTATGCCGATGGCGATATGAACGAAAACTAATCTTGTGAATTATATAAAAATTTCACTTTTAACATCCTTTAAACAAAGAGATTGGTCATATACACAATACACATATTAGCATTACATACAAGTGGCAGGTAGCTCAAACAGGACTTAAAATGACTAGACTTCCAGGCCTAACATTTGAATATCAATATTACGATTTTTATTGATTATCGATATATTTCCAATTATTGATGATGAGTTTTTAAATTGATTTCCAGCACTAGTGTCATGTGTTATTTTTATTCTTGAATTAATTTGTTTATCATATAGCCTGAAATTCCATCAGCAATCAAGACCCTAGAAACAACAGTAGATGATCAGATCTCTAATCTACAACAACAACAAGAGATTGATGGATTGAAAGCTGAAATTAGAGATTTAAATGAAAAATTAGAAACCATTAAGATTAAACGAGGAGAGGATAGAGCAAAGATAAAAGAAGCAGATAAACTCAAGATTCAACTTCAACAGCTTCAAGAGCACAAGTTGAAAATACAAGAAACTCAAGGTGATCTTCAGAGACAACTACAGACAACTAAAAAGGTTGGTATCGGAAAATTGTGTTCAGCAACTATTGAGACACTTCTACAGTTCACATTGTATATATTTTTTTAAACAGTGTTATCAGTTGGTTATTATTGAAATGAATTCTAAAAGTCTTTTAGATTTATATTCTGTATTTTTTCTATTTTGATGTATTTTTATCTATCTCAATATTTAGGAATTGAAAGACACTCAAGACCAGTTTGAAAGGTATAAAGAAGAAATGGCAGATACATCGGAGACAATAGAAATAGCTACATTAGATAAAGAAATGGCAGAAGAAAAAGCAGAAGGATTACAACAGGAAGTGGACTCTCTAAAAGAGAAATTAGAAGAGGTCACTCTAGATTTAGAAATTTTGAGAGGTGAAATAACTGATCAAGGTATGGTAACAGTTCTTGATATAATTGTATGCTTCATAACCTGTTGATTATTACTTTTTGAAATAATCTAATAAATTTCATACAATAAACAGCTTGCCACATCCCACCCAGTATGAAGCCACTTAAACAATCAATCTGTTATGATTTGATATGGTTCTGTATATTTACAGGAAAAGAGGGTGTAGCAGCAACCTTTGAACAAAAACAGCTTGAACAACAGAATGAAAGATTGAAAGATGCTCTTGTAAAGTAAGATAATTGCTTTATGCTAACTTTCTAGAATGAGGATATTACATACAAGTTCATATCAGAATAAATACACAGGCAACTCTTACTTGCTAAACCAATGCTTCATCTTTATTGTAAATTAGTATTTCTACATTTCTATAGAGGCCTATTTAAAATACATTGTCATAAAAGTTCTAAATTATTGCATTTGGAAAATATTTTACTATGACAAATTTGTATTACAGATTACGTGACTTATCAAATCAAGAGAAATCTGAAAACCAAACATTAGTAAAACAGAATGACAAGATGAAAACAGATATTATGAATTTACAGAAAGATAAAGATAAGTTACAAACTGAAGTATCAGAATTACATGAACAAATGATTGAACTTAAAGAACAGGTAAATTACCAAAATTTAGAGGCACATGTGATTGGTAGTTACAAATAGTGAATAGATTTAAAGACACTCTAGTAAAATACTGTACCGAATTATGCTGTACCTAGTAGATCTGATTATTAACAAACACCTGTCAGTGGTCAATCATAGTGTTCAGGGACAACTGAAACCATTAACTGGAAATTTTTCTGTTAGATAATATGATTGTACATGTATTGGACCTGAAAATAAAGTGAATTGTTCTCTTGTATGTTTTGAATGATCTCTATCGAACTCTAAATATATGAAATATTTGTGAGATATAGAACTCTATATGAAATTACCATTCAGGTTGATGCAGCACTTGGAGCAGAAGAAATGGTAGAATCATTAGCTGAGAAGAACTTAGCTTTAGAAGATCAAATTAATGGTTTAAGAGAAGAGAATGCTGATTTAGAAACTTTACATGAGATGAATGAAGAAATACAAGAGAATGCTCGAGAAACTGAATTAGAGTTAAGAGAAGAGCTTGATTTAGCTCAGGGTCGTGTGGCAGAGGTCAGTACCTATCACCTAAAATATTTTTAATCTTGAAAGATATCACTTGATTTGTTAATCCGTCCCTTTAGATTATCATATTTATTTGTGTATTTCTGTTTATTAGTAATTTATTATTGTTATTCCAGGCATATCGTAAACTAGAAGGTAGTGCTGAAACTTGTGCTGATTATGAAAAGACTATTGCTAAGTTTAGAGATTTGGTTAAACAACTACAGGTGAATAATGTTACCTTTAATATATATAATTTACACTTTATCTCAATATTCAGATGTACGTAATGATAGATATCACATTTATCACACTTAAACCAGACACTCTTGTCTTATCGTAACACCCTAACAAAAAATGACCGTTGGTCTCAGAAATGGTATCTCTGAAACCTTAACAATGTATACATTTTTGAGGTTTCTTTCTTGTCCTTGATGTCACTTTTAGGTTTAAAAGTTTTCAAGTTTTTTAATAGATATTTATGAATTTATCTAATATTCTAATGTTCGAATATGATATGTATAATTTTAGGATACCAACAAAGAATTGAGAAGTAAACAACAAGAGAGTGAACAGAAGGCTGTTGAAACACCCACGATTGAGTTTGATTTTAAAGCTAGATTTGCTGAAACTAAAGCTTATGCTAAGGTAATGATTATTATCTACTCTATTTAAATACTCAAGATAGTTAATACATTTTTGAGCATCAGACCTGAATTAATTTTTTTTATTCTTATATCTAAGATCATTTTAATTTTTTTCAACATTGCACTGTGTATGTGTGTGTTATCCTAGATATTAACTGTTTTGCAATTATCTTTCACAGATGTAAGAATTCCGAGAATTTGCGGAATTCAGGAAATGGAAAAGAGTTGCAGATTCATTTCTTTTCTGGATAAGAAGTGTGAAACGCTTTGCTGCCTAGGTTTCCCAACAGATTCAATATGAATTCAAAGGTCACTTACATCTCTGATTCTTTATTAATTGAAATTTCAGACTATTGATATGGAACTACGTAAATTAGAAGTACAGCAAGCCAATGCTCATGTTCAAATGTTATTATCCTTTATGCCAGATACTTTCTTAAACCGAGGTGGTACGTATATTTAGATAATTGTTCTATAACTATTCAATTTGTACAATTAATCTAAAAGTAACAGTGAGACCATTGTGTCATTAAATGGTTCCAAAGAATTGACACCAGTACCATTTTGGAAGTAGGCTCTAATTAGTGTAATGTATTAGTACTTGGTCAGATTTATCTTTAATAATTAGTATATATGATTATAGGTGATCATGATGCTGTTAGTATATGATGGTACCTAGAATTATTAATAAATCAGATTTATCTTCAATAATTATTATATATGATTATAGGTGATCATGATGCTGTTAGTGTATTAATGATAGTATCTAGAATTATTGATAAATCAGATTTATCTTTAATAATTATTATATATGATTATAGGTGATCAGGTTGCTGTTAGTGTATTTATGATAGTATCTAGAATTATTAATAAATCAGATTTATCTTCAATAATTATTATATATGATTATAAGTGATCATGATGCTGTTAGTGTATTTATGATAGTATCTAGAATTATTAATAAATCAGATTTATCTTCAATAATTATTATATATGATTATAGGTGATCATGATGCTGTTAGTGTATTAATGATAGTACCTAGAATTATTAATAAATCAGGTTTATCTTCAATAATTAGTATATATGATTATAGGTGATCATGATGCTGTTAGTGTATTAATGATGGTACTTAGAATTATTAATAAATCAGATTTATTTTCAATGATTAGTATATATGATTATAGGTGATCATGATGCTGTTAGTGTATTAATGATGGTACCTAGAATTATTAATAAATCAGATTTATCTTCAATAATTATTATATCTGATTATAGGTGATCATGATGCTGTTAGTGTATTAATGATGGTACTTAGAATTATTAATAAATCAGATTTATTTTCAATGATTAGTATATATGATTATAGGTGATCATGATGTTGTTAGTGTATTAATGATAGTATCTAGAATTATTAATAAATCAGATTTATCTTTAATAATTATTATGTATGATTATAGGTGATCATGATGCTGTTAGTGTATTTATGATAGTATCTAGAATTATTGATAAATCAGATTTATCTTTAATAATTAGTATATATGATTATAGGTGATCATGATGCTGTTAGTGTATTAATGATGGTACCTAGAATTATTAATAAATCAGATTTATTGGCATCTCAAATTAAAGTCAAGGTATGTTATGTACCTATGCCTATAAAGAGATAAATTTTGCATCATATCCTTTGTTGTATATATTAAAAATCTGGAGCTTGAAGAAGACAACATATTATTTCACATATTCACAATAATCTAGGGCTCTTATTAGCTGTATTTACTGGAGTACAATCGGATCAAATCTTTGCATTCTGTGTTACTAGAATAGTTACTATTGCATTTAATACAAAGTACAAAGTTTGTAACAGCTTGAAATTTCAAGGATGGTCTTGATATTAATTGCTTCTATGAGATTTATTTAATGAGTTCTATTTGAATGGAGTTGATATATTTGTATTGATATTTCAGTTTGACCTGGGAGAGAAAGCTATAGAAAGGCCTGATGTATTAAAGAGTCAAAGAGCTGAACAAATTAGTTTTGCTAATCATTTAATATTATTGCTCAATATTCTACAAGCTACTATGAAACAATATGAAAGGTATGAAATCTTTAATCCTGTTTATCAAATCAGTTATCTAAACTAGGAAAGATGGCCATACGGCTCCTCCAATTAATTCATTTACTATTTAAAAACTCAATGAAAAATAAATACCAGTATATAAAAATTTAACAGTTATGGTTCTTTAGTGGTTGATTTTTATCTACATTTCATAATCCTCGATTGATATTAGAGGAAGATATAACATTTGATATCAGAACACAATCGCATGGTATACTACTACTAGGAGTTTTATTGTACACAATATTCTAACAATTTTATATTGCAGTGCTCTCAATAACTGTAGTGTAGAATTATTTACCAAAGTTGGTACCTTATTACCAGAAATGTCAGCTCATGAGAAATCTGTAGATTATTTTATAGATTTATTACGTAAAGATCAACTAGATGAAACTGTTTCATTAGATCTATTAGAGAAATCTATTGGTTTCTTCTCTGTAAGTATTGCTGTTTTATTACAACAGTTCATTGAATCTTCTGATAAAATCCAAAAGTACCCTGCAAAGTTTGTATCGATATCGCTAATTTCTTTACAGTTTTGCAATGAAAATGAAATTCTGAATATTGTATTGTTAACACTGTAACTCTGTGAGATTGTCAAATTTTTATTAGGCTGTGTTGTGTAGTTCAAACTCATCATTGCTATACTGGTTTTATAGAGCAATGTCTTGTACATATGATTAATATGTATTATTCTTCCTTTCAGCAACTGTACAGCGTACATCTTGTTAATGAGAAGACTGATTGTACATCTTTATTATCTGATAATGTTAAATTAGCTGTCAGTGCTTCAGATTGTCTACAGACTGATATTACTAGACTTAAAATTCTTATTATGGTAAGTAAATATATTTAGTTTGGTATAGCTGGGCTGGAAAATCACTAATAAATCAGTTGGATTTTATCATATAGTATGCATTGGAAAACCAATCATCATATTCTTGTTGTCTTTTAATTGTATTTTAGTGGGTTTCTCTTTTTCTTTGAGAGAAAATAGAAGGATTTATATTATTTTTACAGCCAGGACAGGAGAATTGTGAGTTTAGTATATTGATGAGAGATCTAGAGACTTGTAATCAAGATACTAAGATGTGTGCTAGAAAGGTAAATCTGTAATGTATTTCAGCATTTCATAACATATATAATAGAAATTCAGACATTAAGTAAGAATGTAAACTACACTGAAAGAAGTAAATTACCTTATTTGTGTTTCAGGTCAAGAAAAATTCTGTAAATATTCTACTTTATTTTTCAGATAAAAAGAAGATTACCCCAAGAAGGTTCCTCATCATCCACACCACTTACTTTCTCTAAAGAGGTAAATGTTGACAGGTTTTGGAGAGTCACAGATGCTCAGTGGATAGATTCCAACTTGTTCACTTTGAAATGGTACAATTAGGGTCATCTGTATCTAGAAGATTACTTACATTTGTATTATAAATAAATATGGATCTTGTTATTTTGTGACAAGACAAATGACTGGAGACGCTAGTCATCAACTGTCAATTGTCAGCTATAATTGTTATTATGATATCATTGATGGTTGGATATATATATTAGTTCTGTAAATGTTACATAATTTTACAAATTCCAACATACTGTTAATTTTATGTCAAATTGAAATAAACTGGCCTGGATTTTTTATGTATTTAATCTTTTCTTGATGCTCACAAATATCTTGACTTGAATATTACTATGAAATATTATATATTTACTAGGTTAAAGATTTAATATCAGATATGAGTTCCAATGTCTGTAAAATCAGTAAAACTTTAAGATTTGTTGCCATTGGTGCCATGCAACAGGCTTCAATTATGACAGGTATGTTTAATGTCTTCTCTTTCTATAAAGTGATAAATTAACTTAATATCTTTGCTGAAAAACAAAAAATATTTTGTAGATATATTTAATTAAAGTTTAAAAGACAATGTTGCTTATTATTGTAGTGATCACTATGGCTTCTTTATTTGCTGTGTTGTTGCTTTTATTTCTTACATAGCTTTCTTTTCTACAATTTCACAGGAAGACAGAATTAATGTTAATATATAAGCCAAAGTGTTGCCATCATTGTACAATTCTAAATGTAATAGATATATCATGTATTATGGTGTACAGTGACACTTGTAGCATTTACAGTTTAGTCAGTTTTGTGCCAGAAATCGTGAACATCAAAGATCACATGAGCTAATACTAGAGATTTCATTATATATGAAAGTCAATCATTATATATCGTCCATGGTTATACAATATTTATTTTAACAGGGGGACAAGATTTGGATACATATAATGGTAAACAGCTACTGCCATGTTTCATAATTATAATTATTATTATTATAGCTTGCCAAGTTTCTATTAGACATTTTAATATAGTTTCTATTTTCTTTGCCTTGCTAGAATTCTAATCTTACAGAAAATTGTATTGTTTGATTTGTGAATTTGCTCAGAATGCAGACGTTGGCCCTTTGAAAGAATAGGATATATCATTTCATTGAAAACTTTCATTACAATCTTAGCTTGATTTTTACAGCATGGCATGGTATTCAACAATTTATTGTTAAATATACAATTTATCAAAATATTTTCTTTTCTCTTTGATCTTGTTAGTTTATTTGATGAATATTTTTGTGGATGATTTGAAGTTGATAATCAAATGAAATACTATTTCGGATCTATCAGTGGTTGAGATACTTAATGATCTTATTAAGTCAATAACAAACTTATGAACTACTTTAAGCTCTAGTTTGTATCAGGGCTATGCCTTTGAAGTAAATGAGAAACATTGTATTTATCACCCTCTTAAATTGAAAATTTTCAGTTGACAAATAGATTTCATTTTAAGTTCTTATTAGATGTCGATAAAGCATGTCTAGTTCTTTGATAATGAAGTAATATGTGCTATGTTGAGTGATTGCTTGAAAATAAGTGTAAGCATGTAATATTTGATTGATGTGTATGCAAATTGTTGATTTGGTATATCATTGAAAAATTCCAGAAACTGCAAGGAGTAAGAAAGGTACTTTTAGAATCCCTTGGATTTTAACTAATTTCAATAACGCCTATATTTACATATTTTTTTTGGTATTCAAATAATATTTGAGAGATGTTACTACCCGGGTTTGTCCCTAAAAGCGAATGTTGTACTTAAATACTTATATGAAAAGGTGTGTCATATTAGTAAGCATGTTTGATTTGTTGTTTTAATGGATTGAACCAGTTAATAAGAACTACAGGAACATGGTTGAGATAGTTACTAACACTGGTATACTAGGCCAGAACATCATTGCTTAATATGTAGTCTCTTACTGTTATTTTGGACAAAATGTCAGCCACATAATTTCATAAAAACTAAATGTGGTATAGAAAAACTGTATCATATTATTAATAACTTTAATATAGAGAAATACCGTTAGGTAGAGAATCCTGAAGTTTTGATCTATTCTGGATGGTATCTATCAATATACTATAAGAGTCAACAAGTTATGTTATAATTGTATATTAAACTATCATATTTATATCATTTATCTTTTGGAGCTGAAAATACATTAATTTTTTCATTCAAGCTAGTTCTTTCTTAAATTCGTCTCTCATCTTTATCAGTAGACTTTCTCTAAATATACTGGTTTTGGTATTATGTATATTTGTAATATCTAAAAATTCAAATATTAACATGGATTTGGTTGTGGAATCTTGTTTTTATTTTTATTTTTCTAAGACTTATTTTTATTTATACCTTGATCAGAATGATTTATTTTATAATTTTTGTTAGACTTTTGCACTAAGTTTTATTCAATATCAAGTATGTTTTATTTCATCACCTTTGTTTACATATTCCTTTTCAACCTTTTGCCCTTCTATAGTGTGGAATAGAAATAAAGCATGAGTGATGTTTTTTAGATGCTGAAGGATTAATGCCTAAGAAAATGGAAGAGTTAGCGTATCAAGCTGTAGATAAGATCTATGATAAAGATGACAGTGGACCCTATGATAGTTTGAGGTAACTAATAACTTTCTGTATGTAGAGTATAGTGCTCAGTGCTTTACCTTTGAATCTTGAAAAACTTGAATGTATTATACCATTTATTCCTGTTGTTTGACCTTATAACAAGGTTCAGGTTGTTCTTTGTACATTTTGTTATGAGGAGACAAATAATTTATCTGACAAATAAATTTCCTTCTATGCAAAAGTCTGTTGTCTGCATCTGGCACCACCAATAGGATTTTTATTCAATAATAAGAAAATGCTATTTTACTTTCCTCAATCAGCTGTTCAATGTTAGTATCTTCTTTTTTTTAGACTATCATTTGGTAAAGTTGTTGGAACCATGAATAAACTTGCCAATGCTATGGAAAATGGTGAATATGATTTTGATGGAACAAGGGAGGCTAAGGTACTGTACAGTGATTAAATGTTTTTGATATAAAAGGCACCTATGTTGTTTTGTTATTGTTGTTTATTGAAATCTGTTGGTCTTTTTTGCATGTAAATGTCTGCACTGCATTATAATTATTTTACGCACTTTAGTACAGTTATCATTCACTTCATGAAGCTTATCTTATTAGAACATTTAATTGCCAATATCATCATTGCATGGTATCAAATTTCTGCTGAAGGTATCTGTTGTATTAATTATTATATTCATGTAAACTGTTATAGCCAGGAAAGGTTGAGGTAAGTTGTCATGGAAACCTAACATATACAAGTATATATATAAGTATTTCAAATGACCCTGTTTTTTCTTCTTCTTTTTCCTCAACTATGCCTTTTTCATATATGATTATTTGAGGAAAATGGATATCTTATGGTTATTCTGCATCTACTTGGAGAAAATAAAATTGATTCAGCAAGCAATTTGCATTTGATATTCCAGAAAAATTATTTCTCAGTATTTTGGTATGACTGTTTATTTGGATATTAATGTGGTTTGATGTTTAATATCTTTTCCACTAATATCATTGCATTTTGAGCCATGAAAAATACTTCCTTGCTTGTTTTCTTTTCTTTCTGTGGTATTTTTCTGTTTTATGTGCTAGATATTATTTTTATTAAAACTCTTGGAGAATCTGAAGTCATTTCCTTTGGTATTTGGTAGGTCATGTCCATAGCAAGATTATGTTGAACTGTATTATTCTTGTATTAACACAATCTAATCTTGGCCAAAACAAGTGTTTTGATTTTGGTATATATGATGATATTATTATAAAAAAGTTGGCAACTGGTTTACTGAGCATTGTATATTTTTATTGAGAAGAGTTTTAGAATACACTTTATGCTGGACACAATTTAAATTCCTTGACTGCATATAAAGATATGTTCTCATTATTATTAAAGAATTTTTCACAATTGTCATATATGTTATTTATAGGCATTACCACCAGTAAAACAGAGAGCTAGTACAGTTAAAGCTCAGATAGCTGATATAGAAGTCATGAAATTTAAACTGGATACTAAAGAAGAAGATATTAAAGAATTAAAGAAACTTTTCAAGATGAAAGTAAGTTTGATTTTGCAATATGACCATTGTAATTCATATAAAGTTTAAAAGGTATACTACTTCATAGGATGAAAATTTTAAACTTGGTCAGAATGAGTCTTTGTTCATAAGTGGACTTAACTGGTGTCAAAATTATACGATAGAATCATAGTATAATTATATAAATCCAATAATAAAATATTTTCACTGTTAAAGTAGTGCTCAATACATCAATTATAGAGCAATATAGAAATATTAAAACAAAACTCAGTGTTAAAATAGTGCTCAATATATCAATTATAGAGCAATATAGAAATATTAAAACAAAACTCAGTGTTAAAATAGTGCTCAATGCATCAATTGTAGAGCAATATAGAACTATTAAAACAGAGCTCACTGTTAAAGTAGTGCTCAATACATCAATTATAGAGCAATATAGAAATATTAAAACAAAACTCAGTGTTAAAATAGTGCTCAATGCATCAATTGTAGAGCAATATAGAACTATTAAAACAAAACTCACTGTTAAAGTAGTGCTCAATACATCAATTGTAGAGCAATATAGAAATATTAAAACAGTTCACTGTTAAAATAGTGCTCAATACATCAATTGTAGAGCAATATAGAAATATTAAAACAAAACTCAGTGTTAAAATAGTGCTCAATATATCAATTATAGAGCAATATAGAAATATTAAAACAAAACTCAGTGTTAAAATAGTGCTCAATACATCAATTATAGAGCAATATAGAAATATTAAAACAGTTCACTGTTAAAATAGTGCTCAATACATCAATTGTAGAGCAATATAGAAATATTAAAACAAAACTAAGTGTTAAAATAGTGCTCAATATATCAATTATAGAGCAATATAGAAATATTAAAACAAAACTCAGTGTTAAAATAGTGCTCAATGCATCAATTGTAGAGCAATATAGAACTATTAAAACAGAGCTCACTGTTAAAGTAGTGCTCAATACATCAAATATAGAGCAATATAGAAATATTAAAACAAAACTCAGTGTTAAAATAGTGCTCAATGCATCAATTGTAGAGCAATATAGAACTATTAAAACAAAACTCACTGTTAAAGTAGTGCTCAATGCATCAATTGTAGAGCAATATAGAACTATTAAAACAAAACTCACTGTTAAAGTAGTGCTCAATACATCAATTGTAGAGCAGTATAGAAATATTAAAACAGAACCTAAAATAACGCTTTGGTATATTCTCTTCTCCATTAAGACCAAATAATAACAATCTGATAGATTTGCCGATAAACCCACCTTGTGCTATAGATGCCGGTTTTTATTAACGAAAAACTATGTACATAATAACATATTATGTGTCGATAGTAATACATCGTAAACAAATATGCATAAATTATAAGCAACAACCTATATACAGATATATATTCATAGAATTTAATAAATTACTCTTAAAATTATATTACTCATATTCTCTAACTGAATACTCCGTCGTAAACGACTTTGCCGGTCAGGAAAAACCAAAGATCAAAAACATTGAAATAATGAAAATAAACTCTGGAAACCTGTGTCTGATACCTAATGCAAAAGTCGTCTCGAGAGTCGATACCCAGACTTGTATTCGGGAATATATTTCTAATAATATTGAAATAAAATTAAACTTTGTGTCTCGTAGGAAGGTAGACTAGAGAATGGCGTTTGTATACAAACAGTTACCGAGGAAGGTAACCACCACGTGATCAAATTATCACGTGTCTACATTAACAAATCAAACATACAATAATTTCCCGCTTTACTAGCAAATCGCAGGAAATATTAAGTATATTCTCTTCTCCATTAAGACCAAATAATAACAATCTGATAGATTTGCCGATAAGCCCACCTTGTGCTATAGAAAAAACCAGAGAAAGGGTTGTGTATGAAAGCGTAACAGTATTGTATTTATAATTAAACATAATAAACCTACAGGCCAAGATGCGCTGAAACGTCTAAGCGGGTGCTCAGAGAATTCGAAATATAACCGTCTTTAGAGAAGTCGGTTTTCCATCGACCGTGACCGTTTGATACATCTTTTGTTTGCGTTCCTATTTGCGGCAACAGTAGCACCGCCAGATCTTAAAGAATGTAATCCAATATTCAAATGCGGTGCCATAGACTTTAATCTCTTAAGTATGTTTGCTCTAGCTGTAGAATAGCTTAATTTCTTATTCATATATATCAACTTGCAAGAATCCTTTGACCTGAAAATTGGTTTAAAAATGTAATGATCTGATTTCAAATCTAAATTACACAAATCCATATAACGTTGTCAAATAAGCAATGGACATGCAACTGTGTTTCCTTTAGCAATCGAAATTTCATTTCCCTGTCTGTATTGATCTGTTTTACTGTGTGCTATGTTAATCTTGATATATTCGTCGTATAAAGTTAAATCACAACATTTTAAGTTACTTAGTTCGTCGTATCTTAAAAAACCTGCAAAACTCAAAACGATCATAGCCAAATCTCTTATTATCAATAAATCATTTGAAACCTTATGCATTTCACACAAATTTATAATTACTCCGACTGGAATTGGGTCCTTTTTAATAACTGGGCGGCCATTCACCCGTTTAACTGACTGAAACAAAGACTTAGTGTCTATTAACGACGTTAAATATAAAGCTACATATATAGGTTGAGCCAGCAGATCAGGGATACCGTGTTTAACGCAAAATGACCTCCATCTGTTAAAAGACAATAAGTACTTCTTATTGGTATTGTCGCTTTTAGAATCCACCAAATAATTTGTTAGGTTACCGGCCAATTCGTCCAATTCCGGAGAAACTACGTTGCCTTCATCTACTGCTCTTTTGACATAATAGTCTAATCTCAATCCTGAAATTAAAATACAATGCGAAAAGCATTTGTTAAAATTGGCCAAAACGGAGCTGACTTCCATTCTGGCAAAACCAGTGTCCCATGAGCCCTGTCAGACATCATCTTGTGTAAAACTTTAGCGATTAAGTTCGGTGGGGGAACTAACCAATTGTTGTAACCATGCCAATTAACGCTAAAAGCGTCGATAGCTTCCGTGCCTGGAAGCCATATTTTAGAATTGAATCGTAAGCATTGAGCATTATAATGTGTAGCAAATCTGTCTATATCGAATGGCCCCCATGTGGTGTTTAACTGTTGGAATATATCGTCTTTTATTGACCAATCGTCATGATCTACTACTCTGCTCAATTTATCGGCCAATTTGTTTTGTTGCCTGGGAATCCATCCGGTTGTAATCTTAACATTTTGTGCGCTGCAAGTCTTTCTAACATCCATTGCCAATGTTTGCAGTTTAACTTTGCTACTACCCACTTTCAATATGTGTGGGACATTTTGATTGTCTGATAACAATTTTACCTGACTGTTTGTAAATGAATACTGAAAATTCAATAAAAAACGCCTCACACATTCCAGCTCACGCCATGTAGAACTCTGGACTGACTCAAATTTACTCCATAAACCACTCAATGAGTGCGTCATCAAATTCATTGACTTACCCTCTGCGGTAAAATAACCGCCAAAGCCTACATCTGAGGCATCACAAAAGATCTCAAAATCAAATATGTCGTTCACCACGACTGTGCAAATATCGGCCCCCTGCCAATTAAGCTTTTTCAAAGAGCTGTTCCAATGTTCTATTTCTAATAAAGCTTCATGCGATAGCTTGATTTTAGCATTCCAGCTAGCCATGCCCATAACACAATCGTACAAATATCGTGTGTACAAACGAACATCGTCACCGAAAACTATCTGCATAGATATAATTTGGCCTACTATGCTTGCTATCACTTTTACGTTAAACAACGTTTTTCCATTATGATAAACCTTATCTAAAATATCTCTCAAACATAATTCAGCCTTGTTAATACGGGCCTCTGATAAGAAAATTCGGCCCATTCTGTGTCCCAAATATAACCCAACCACTGAATCTTTTGACAAGGAAACCAAATGCACTTTTTATGTGCGATTAAAAAGCCCAACTGATCAAGCTTACTCCTGACTTCGAGACTCAAGTCGTGGCATTTTTCTAAATTTGATTCTCCACCTAATCCGTCATCAAAAAACATGATGAGTTTACTTCCTTTCGATCTAAAATGTTTAACGACCTCTCTCAAAACTTAGTGAAAATATAACCAGCTGTTGAAATACCGAATGGTAAGACATTGTAAATAAATACTTTGTCGTTCCTTCGAAAATCCACGAGAAACCTAAATACTGTTTATGTAATTCAAAAATTTCTAAATGATGATAAGCAGACCTGATATCAAAGGAAAAGAGATAATCGCCTTTGATAAATAAATCTCTTGCCAATTTTGAATCCTCATATTTAAAACGATATTTGAAAAGATGTGGATTGATGTGTCTACAATCTAACACTAATCTCAACTTTATTTTATTGGATGCAACCGTTAAAGGGTTAACAATTTTTGGCTTTGTTTGAACCTCTGTTACAAGCCTCTTTTCTAACAACGCTTTAATTTCTGATTGAACGAATTCACTGTTATCAAGTGCCGATTTATTATTCTTAATACAAATATCATTTGGTTCTGTTTTCAACGGAATTTTGTATCCGTTGCGGATGACGTCGAGAATGTAAATTTTGTCAGTGATAGACTGCCATTCGCCTATATGTTCTCTCAACCTACCAATCGGTGTCAAAACCTCTACAGTGTTATGACTGAGTGAACCGTTAAAACTATCGACATTAAGTAACGGTATAATGCCGTTAATGATAGCCTCGTTTTGAATAAAAAGCGTGCTTGGCTCAACATTAGCTTTAGTTTTCAAACATTCAAAAGGGTAAATTGTACTTAACTTCTTCTCTTTATTCTCGGAACAATTGTCCGCCCAGTGACCATATTTCCCGCAACTAAAACATCTACCAGGTTTAACGGCTGTGGTCGATGATTTCTCTCTATCTTTTCGTTGATAAGGGGTAGTTCGTGGTGCTCTCCTCTTCAATTTTTCTGCCTTGCATTTTCTTTCAGCACGTGCTTGAGCTCTAAAAATCTTCTTCTCGTCGTCTGAGTTTTCGGCGATTGGATTTGCGATGTACTCTGACACGACTTTCCATCCCAATTCAGAAGAGTCAGCCAATTTAATCAATTTCTGCCTCTCTAGAACTAGATCAATACCTTCTTTTAATTTTGATTTTACCGCCCATGTCTAGCCCTGGTTCATCAAGTTGTGCTTGAGTTTCTCTCAGCTTTCTTAAAACTTTGGCTTCGTGTCGATACTGGTTCTCATTACCCTTGCGTTGAAATGAGTATTTATCACATATTGTGTCTTGAATTCGGTTCATCTGTAATGTTGAAATATCTTTCTGGGAGGCCTGTATATTTTGTTGGACAACCGATAATCTTGCATCCATAAGTGTTGTGATATTAGTTAGGAGATCATTCTGTGAAACCTGAATCCTTTGACCTCGCGGCTAATGGCTTCTTGTACCTCCAAAGCATCCATAACTTTGCGTCTCGTAGGAAGGTAGACTAGAGAATGGCGTACAGTTACCGAGGAAGGTAACCACCACGTGATCAAATTATCACGTGTCTACATTAACAAATCAAACATACAATAATTTCCCGCTTTACTAGCAAATCGTGGGAAATATTAATGATCTTCAGACAACTGACCTATAGTTGGGTCCAACTTCAGTGGGGACACAGGCTGAATTATATAGGTCAGTTGTCTGAAGATGGCATAGCATGAAACTCCTGAGTAACAGCAACATTTTTGTGCAGGTTCTATTTTAATATTTTTTATTATATAAATCAATTAATAAACAATTTATAAATAATTGATTAAACTAAGCTATTTTGAAGCATACTTAGAAGCTTGTTTCAATAATTATTTAGTTTAATGGATATATCATGTCATTACCTGGTAATTCCAACTGATGAATATATACTCTTATTGATATATAGTGTATATCTAAAATAGATTCCTCTAATAAGAACAGATTTAGTGTAAGGGGAAACAGTTTGTATTATGTAAATAAATGTTTCTGTATTGATAGCAAGAGGAAATGAGTGAACAACAAGTAAGGGTTGGATTATTGGAGAAGAAATTAGAAAATGCTTCTAAAGATGGTGAAGAAAGATTGGAGAAATTACAGAGAAAATTGGATGAATTAACCATTCATTCTAAGAAACGAGAGAAGTATGCTCCAAAGATAGATCAGACCGTTCCTGTTGAAAAATCTTGTATTGGATCCTTTAAGACCTTATAATCAAACTTTGTCACTTTAATTGAGAGATAATTAGTGATGTCATAAAATGCTTATGCCCCACGCTTATGGAATTGCTAGAATGACAATGCCTGACTTAAAATTGTAAGGTTGAAGTCAATGATATCTGTGTCCCTTATAACAAAACAACCTCTTCACAATCTCTTTAACTCAGAGTTGAATTTACATTATTTCTACCAACAGAGAATTTGAAGAAACTTGTGATACATTACAAGCTGATATTGATGCTCTAGAACAAGAGAAATTAGACTTACGTGAAAGATTGAAAGTTTTATCCAAGAAATCATTATTAGAGGGATTGGATAGGAAATCAGGACAAACTCGTAAGTTGATTATACAAGTTGATTATCGAATTATATTCCGTTTCGCACATTTGAAGAATTAGATCTAATGTTTCTTGAGGAAATAAATTTTTTAAAAATCCAAAGTAGTATGTTCTAAGATGTGTGTATCATATAATTAATGAATTATGTATTTCTAGCTACATCACCATCTAGTCCTCTACCTTCATCTATTATTGGTAGTGTATCTGATTCACCATTATTACTTCAACAGGTAAACACCTTTCTTTATTTTTTTAATAGGTATATTTTTAAATTATCTCTAAAGAACCCATAGAGGATTCATCCCCGTAATAAAGTATTTTTCTAATGACAGATGTTCTTTTAAATTGTAGATCAATTCTCTGAAAGAAGCATTGAAGTTTGTGAAAGCTGAAAATATCAGGTTACGTTCTGATCAAATGAAGGTGAGTTTTAATGAATGATATTAAAACCTGCTAGACTTTCAGAAACGTCCCTTAGTCTTGTCAATAAACTATTTGAATGATATCAGAGATATTACTGTACATGTCTGAACGAGTTTATTACAATTATACTGTCAAATGTAAAGTTGACTATTTTTAATTGACACTGACTCTGAATATTGATTTTAAAGTTAGTTTATGGTGATCTCTCTAAGTTTAATCTTTTAAAATCTGACTTCCATTGGATTCCTACGTTCATCATCTGTAATTGCAACATAATTTTAATACCAAATTATAGATATTTTCTGATTAATTTCCAGTCTATAATGGATAAACTACCACCATTGAGAGTTCCAAAGAAACCAACAGGATTAAAGAGTAATACTGGATTGATTAAATTAGGTCAATTACCTGATGTAGTTCAAGGAAAGAATGAATTGAATAATCTGGCCAAGAAGACTTCCAACCTGTTGATGGTAGGAACTAATCTCTGTATAATTTATAATAAGTGATAAAAATTTACTGGTTTTGATCTTATCTTGATTAGTCATAAGACACAGCGAGGCACAATGTGAAACTTATTACTTCCTATTAGAAGATTTATTATCATATGAAAATGAAAATTTCATCTCAGTTCTTTAAATCCTATGGTAGATGTCCTATCTTACAGATGTTGGTTTCAGTCAGTCTGATGCTATATATGTGTATGTAAGAAAATGTAAATATGAGACTATGATAATGAGATGATATAATTTAATTATAGAATGTTAATAAAGCTACTGCGTGTGTTAAAGTTATTGATATAACTAAAAGAAAAGCTGGTTCAGAACCTGCTAGTGATACAACTAATCCTTCTAAACAACTAGTGGATAGAATCTCTACTTTAACTACCTACCAGAGAGCTACACAGGAGGTGAACAATACTTTAATTTTATTATGGAACCATTATCACAATGTTCCATGATTTTACATCTATGTTTCTCCTTATGGGAACATTGTCATTGTCCTTGAATGTTAAAAATCTACAGTCAGTTGACCAAATATGATAATAGTATTGTTCACAACTTCTCTTGTTACACACTGTATAATCTAAAAATTAAACGAGCTTACCTTCGGGAAGTGATGTTTAATTATAATTCTACAAACTATTTCACGAACGAAGGAATTGATGTAGGCAAGGAGTCTGGACTTAATAGGTATATCTTCAGAGTCTACTGTAATGTGCATAGCAACATCAGTATTTAGGTCCAGGAGATTATCTTCCTCTGCATTGGAAAGGACTGGCACATCAGACGACACAGCTGTATGTGGTTTCCGTAAGTTTGCCATTGCTGGAAGTAGAACTTTCGCGCAGCAAAAAACTTACAAGGTTTATAACAGGATGTTAAAAAGTACAAAAACCTGGAGCGAAAGTTTCTAACTCACAGGCCAAACGACTTGTTATAAAATAGAGTCTATTTTATAACAAATATGTAAGGATTATCTCGATCAAAAATTTGAGATTAAAGATTGACTGTTCCATAGCAGAGCATGTCGAAAAACTGACACCTACTGCACATGCATTATCTCACATTGGCTCCGGAGTGACATAGCAATAGTGTGAAGTAGAATTATCTTTGTAAGGTGGTAAAAAGGATAATGCTCATAATAATGTTACTCATTTAATTGAAATTTATGATAAAATTTTTAATAAGATAATCTTCATAATAATATAGTAAAAATTATATTTTAGTTACAAGTTGAAATAACTAACTTACTAGCTGCTAATAGAACAGGTGGACAAGTTAGAACAGATTTCTCAACATTTCCTACTCCACAGTTTGCCAGAGTAAGTAACAACCATAAAGATTGACACCTAGAAATCTTTACTTTATCAACAAAATACTGATCAGTTTCTAATACATTAATGATGAAAACATGTTGGAATAACATCTAATTTTTCTTTTATCAACTCAATAATACTACCTAAGAAATTGGAAGTTGATTTTCCAATTATTTAACTTGCTTAGATTTGTGTGCCAATTTCTATGTCTAGTTAGTTTACATTACTGGTATGCATTATAAAATATATTATTGTCTATATTTTTAGATGTTACATGAGAAGAGTGGTGATAGTATATTAGCAGCAGAAATAAAGCTACCATGTCCTAAAGGGAAAGGAGAAATAATACCATTACATGTTACACATGATGAATTACGACAAATACATCTTTTATTTAAGAATTAATCTTGGTCTTAATGGTGCAATATTTATTAATTTATTTCTCAATAATATTCTATAATAGCTTGTAATACTCGTATAGCTATAATTATTGTAATGGTGTTAAGGTTCTTATAACAATTCTTGACCAAAGTATTTCCAAATTTAGTATAAGGTTCTTATTACTGTGAACGATTTGTGATGATTTTGTTTTTTGTGCTATGCTAATAATTATGATCGGTAGAATATGGGCATTTGAAATATTTCTTTATTGTTTTTTTTTTCTTTTTGATATGATTATTCAATTAAATCATAAAATAATCCTCTTTATCATGGAATTCGCTTTTAATAGATGTCAACTTAGCACTTAAAAATGTCTAATAATGGCAAAATCTGTGTAAATCTGTTAAAAGAGATATCTATGCTTGATATAGATAAAGTATCTAATAGGTGCTCAGAAGGTATACTTCTCAGCAAACTTGGCATTGAGTACTTTATAACAGGATTATATATTAAATTGATGTTGATTATTGTATCTATTGACATTTTCCTCAAGTTATGGTATTTGTTTAATCTAAGTTTTCCTGGAGAAACAATTCAAAGAATATTATTATTATATTAAGATTTGGTTAAGAAGTGAGCCATTCTTTTTTTCATATTCTTATGAACTTTCGGTTGTCACAATGCTTGATTATTTCGTGAATGGCACACATTCTTAACCTATCAATATCTTTGTATCTGAAATAAATTAAGAACTATTTTGTTACTGGGCTTATAGTTGTCTAATGATATGCTAAACAAGCGGATAAAGGTTTATTTCAGCTATCTGTGTTCTTCACCAATGTGACAATTTAGACCATCTACAATAAATGCAAGAGAATATATTGCTAAAGGTGGTGACAATTTGAACTTCCTCTTAAACTTTTTTTTCCAATATTAAGGAAATGCATTTAGGATTATAAATCTGAAAAATATCATGGATAACTGTTATGAAGCTTTATGATCTTGTAAAACATTTTTTAAGAAGACTATATTCTATTAAAGATTTAAGATTATGTATAATTTAAACAATATTACAAAGTATGCTTTTCTCATGGTGTAAGTGCTTCTTATTGTTAAATATACCAAGTTAAAATTCTAATGAAATTCTTGTTTTTTGTGTGTTTATTTCTCTGAATAGAAAATAACAAACATGTATAGCAAAAAAAGTTCATCCTAAGATATTGGTCCAAATAAAATTTAGTTTAATTTCATATTTTGTATGCAAAAATATAGAATAATTCTATTCTTCTTAACTTGATCTTATGTGGTGCTTAGGGCTAATATGAAAAAAGGGACACCACTCTTTGATATCAGACTAAATCTAATGGATTGGATTCTTTAGGTTTGTAGATTTACATAAAGCAACTAAGACCAACCTGAATTCTTTTTCTCTGAACTCATAATCAGATGTCAAATAAAAATGTTTATTCCCTGTTGAAAAACCTTAAGCAATGTCTATGTGTACATCTGTGTTTAATTGTTGAAAGTCAATCCACGAAAAAGATGACATATTTAAAATGAGAACTTTCACTCCTGTATTTATGTTATAAAACATTTGGGAGAATTTTAGACTCAGACTGTTATACAGTAAGAAAGATGAAGGTTACAGTATGTAAGAAAAATCACATTGACATTTGAAATATAAATTTTATTCTTGTCCTTGGAATAAAAATACAGAAAATTATTTAAATATCTCTGAAATAATATAAAACATCTGATCTACATATGTTTATAAACTGGTTGTTTTAAAACTAGTTTCATTGCTACGCTACTTTTATTATTATAAGATTTTTTTAAAGCTGCTAATACTTCTGGTAAAGATAAAAATCTAAGACTTCTATCATCTACAGACATCAATACCATACCAGGCTGAAATGATCAAATTATTTTGTTGATAATGTGTGCAGGGACAAGCAATAAATGGCACCGAACTTTTATGTATCAGACCTTGACACATATCTTGGTGAGATGCCCCAAATTTATAGCATTTTCTGATGGTGTAGTTTGAACTTTGAATATATTTTGCCAGCATAAATAAATGACGAAAGTATGTGTTATGAAACTGACCCGAATATTAGAATCGTCGGCTGCAGCACCAGATGGTAATACTTTATGAACCCGAACAGGAGTGGGAAAATCCCCTTCTCCTCCCTTTAAAACTAAACCTGAAAATAATTAATGTAAAGTTATATATCTTGAAACTTTTGATATCTGATTTTCTATGGTTACGTAAGTATTCTCCGATTCAAGTTGGCTACTACTCACCTAAATGTGGTTTGTGTTTAGAAATATATACAATTATATCATCGGTATTACTGTATGAGGTCAGATTTCCATCTGAAATTAGAAGACATCAAAGTATATAATTCACTGAATCACCTGTAAAAAAAAAACACAACCATTTTTAGAAATTTGTTATAGCTGAAATTTTTTAATCAATTCCATTTTGTATATACAAACATGATCTTGGAATACATAGAGGATTTTGAAAAAGTACGAACTCATCTAGTAGCTTGCCGAAAAGAATAAAAGTGAGAAAAAAAAATGAAATCTGGAAGATGATCTCTCAAACTTGATGTTTGAATAATAATGACCAAATGCTACTCCGATAAAAAGCATTGGCAGGGGTTTAAGTGTAAACTTAAGATAGGTTATTGAATATAAGTCATCACATAATGGCATCAAGCATCGTAAAGCGAAAAGTTCAAATCAGGAAAATAAAATAACTTGCAAATCATTGTCATGCATTCTTTCAAAGTAACCTTAAAATATATTTTTAACAAATACTGACACCAAAAAATATAGAATAAACAAAAAATAAAGAAAAAAATCTCCGCAATATGTCTACCTTATACCTGTCCTTTTCTTTGGTTTAACTAAATCATACGATCCTTCTTTAGCTTCATTATCAGAGTCTTCATCATTATCGTCATCATCAGACTGAGATGTTACTTCTAAGCTTGATCTCATAACTTTAATAACTTCATTCTCATGCTCTACGTCTCTTTTAAACTGATCAACTGTTTTGATGTGAAAATGTCCATCCTCATCTAATACCCAATTGAAAATTTAAAAAGTGCATGAAAAAGGGACAAAAAAAAATTAAAGTTGCAGAAAATAACCTGTAAAACGTTCAGGTTAAATTATTGTGCACATTGGATTCAAATTTGTAAAATGGAAAAAATGAATATAATTATGATATAGACCTATGTGTAAAAGCTATAATTTTGAAATATGTTATAGGTAAAGAAAAAATTGAAATAAAAGCATCTACTTGATACAATAATGATCATGTTAGGTGTGTTCCGGATTCACTTACCCACTATGGTGGTCATAAGATTTTTGTGTGGTTTTGAACTACGTTGATTATTATGATGTAAGGGTAAGTGCAATTTGGTAGCTGTTCTATCATATTCTTTAATCTCGTACATACTCACTTTATTATCGAATAAACCAATATGATAAGGAAATACTACTCCCCTGGAATGATACAACAAAGTTCATCATTATCATGAAAGGTATAATGCATCCATGCTCCAACCTGAACACATGACCCGATGGTTGATCAGATTAGATAATATGATTCCTCGCTCTAGCATAATAGTAACACAAGTTAGATCACTATCATCATAAACGATAGCTAGATGACCAACATTATCATGAAAGACGACACTATCATCATAGACTATTGTTAGATCTCCACCGCTATCATCATAGACGACTGTTAGATCAACAACCTTATCACCTGTGGACTTTAGTTCGATCACGAACACTATCATCATAGACTATACTTAGACCTTCAAAATTATCATCATAGACTATAGTTAGATCTCCAACATTACCATCATAGACTATAGTTAGATCTCCAACACTATCATTATAGACTATAGTTAGATCTCCAACGCTATCATCATAGGCTATAGTTAGATCTCCAACATTACCATCATAGACTATAGTTAGATCTCCAACACTATCATTATAGACTATAGTTAGATCTCCAACACTATCATTATAGACTACAGTTAGATCTCCTACACTATCATCATAGACTATAGTTAGATCTCCAACGCTATCATCATAGGCTAGTTAGATCTCTAAAACTATCATTATAAACAACAGCTAGATCTCCAACACTATCATCATCGACAACAGCCTATAGTTAGATCTCCAACACTATCATTATAGACTACAGTTAGATCTCCTACACTATCATCATAGACTATAGTTAGATCTCTAAAACTATCATTATAAACAACAGCTAGATCTCCAACACTATCATCATCGACAACATGCTAGATATCCAACATTATCATCATAGACTATTTTATGTTACCTGACGTCTTTTAAAAGTTGCAGTTTATCTGAATTATCAAGAAGTTGTAGAAGTACATCAATTAGCTTTTCCAAATCTTTCTTTTCATGATAAAATTTTACATGACGTATGACTGCTTCACATTCATCTTTAGGTAGTAAAGCTCTTGCATTTTCCTCTAGCATCATCATATTGTAGTTATCTACACAATGATTATTCATCATTTGGGAGCCAAAAGTACTCTCAAATACACCCCTCTTCTTCAATAAACTCATCGGTGCTGCAAAGATCAACCGTAACATTAATTAACATTAACATAATAACAACATGACTTAGTCATACTTTTCATTGTAATCTAAGGAATCGTGCATTTCTACACTACACTGAAACTGAAGGATATGCGTCCTGCACGTAACCGCCGTTAAGCAACTTTTCATTTGACCTACCTTCTGAATCAGATTCTTTTTTCTTTTCTGAAAATAAAATATCTGTTTTTCAGGCCTTCTAGGTTTCATAATTATGTAATGGTATATGTTATATGGCATACGTATATGGGAAACGAATTATATTAATTATAATGGCATCAGAAACAATAGCAGGTACATAAAGACACGGTTTGGTTCTATTGTTTACAATGCATACAAACGGCTTGAAGACTTGTCTGATCTGCTCCTTCCGGCCCAAAATGATGATAACACTGCTGATGCTCATTTGTTACTATATGTTGATGATGATGATGACGACGACGGTGCAGATTACATTTGTAGTGAAAACTACCTACTTTTCGTCTTCTCAGTTCCTGTTAATTTCTTTTTCAATGTTGCCCATGTACCACTTTTGTCTTTTTTGTTTTGATAAGGCACCTTTGTGTCTGTAACAAAAAGGATATACATGTATCTGTCAGGGATGTCGCAATGAAATTGATTCAAGATTTTCTAACGTCACCTGCGTTTTTATGTATTTTCCAGTAATGGTATAGGCATGTAACGCATATGTATTTGCCACCAGTCAGGAAACTAAAAAGGTTTTTCGAGTAGCCTACGGATCCGACATTATTTATACCTACCTGTTTGTACTTCAGGGATATTTTTATTACCAGCTATTCTATCTATTTCAGATGATCCTAAATGAGATTTTCTACTTTCTAAATGATTTATACGATCTTCTACACTAGTAGAACTAGTATCATCCGACAGTTTGGCATCACGAATAATCAAATCAGACTTTCTATTGACTATTGGATCACCTTTCCTTTCCAACTCTTCAAGACTAGAATATACGTGTGAATTCTGTTTATCGTGCATATTTCCATCTTTGTTAGATATACGAACTATAGCTTCTGAGCCATCTTCACTATAATCTATAGGTGGTTCTTTTTGCCTTGGTTCGTGTAAATGATTGTATGTATCAAATGCATCATAGGCTGTGGATAATCTTACTTCATTCTGTTTTCCAGTTGCAATCAAGGAAGGGGTGCTCTTAGAGTGATTCCGGTTATAAGGTTTGAATGATATTGGTTCTGATTGTTTGTCTTCTATGAACGATGATGGCTGATGCTGATGCTGAAGTTCTCTGTTTTCTGGAGTCTGCACATAAACTATGCCATGTTTATTTTTCTTATTTGGATTATGAACTTGTGCATATGCTAAGTAAGGATTATTATTTTGAATGACAGGTGAACTTTTGTACATGGTTGTATGCCGATCTGGTAGAATATGAGTCTTTATCGTTGAACTTTCTATGGGGTGATGAGATAAGAAGCTGGTTGATGCTTCTTGATGAAGCTGTGGCGATGAGTTAAATGGTTTTTCTCCTGGTGTTGATTCTTGGCGAGTCTTGCGTTCTAAAAATGCCATGTAATCATCTTGTTCGGAACCACTTTCCAAATAGTCTGATTCAATATCACTAAAGTTATTGGTATGTTTTTTCCTAGCACGACCATTAATATAGCTACCATTGTGATCTCCCTCACCAAATCCGGAAGAAGTCCATTCATCATAGGGTGATGAATATGATACATCTTGTTTTCTTGGTAATAAGACTTCCTGTTGGTATGACAGACGACCATAACTATTATTAACGGGCTGTGGTTGGAGGTTCTCACCAGTATGGCGACTTCTTATCCTGGTTTCACTTACAACAAGTCTGGAATCTGGAAATATATCAAAATTAAAGTTTTACCCCTCGGTGTTATAAAATATGCTAAGGATAAACAGTTAAACACAGATATATGTGATTTAATTATGTGTATTGTGTTCACCTGGATACGAACTAAGAGGTAAAGCTGTTAATTAGTACACAAAAAAACTTTTCTGGTAGACTACATTACCTGGTTCTTGTTTATATGGTTTATTTGGTAGATTACCGGTATTTTCACTCCATGTGTACTCTTGGTATACTTCCTTATAAGCTGGATATCTTCCAACGGCCTGTAATAATATAATTATTGAGATGATTATCTTATCAGCATGTTATATGTACCATTCATTTCTTACACTACGGCATTCAAAGATCAAAATTGTTTACATACCTTTAATGTTAGTTTAAGAGTCCTGTGAGCTCTAAGAAACTCCACAGCTGATGTATGATTGACATTCTCAAAACTGGTTCCATTGACAGCTACAATTTGGTCCCCAACACAAACATTATTTCTTTCAGCTAATCCGCCTCTGTCTAACCTTTTTGGGGTTAATGATAGTAACACAAAAGATATATAAGTAAAACCGTGTGCAAGGGAAACGGTTTCGTGTCGACTAATGGTTTCCAATTACACAAACCTATAATTTACTATCTGTTTCAGAAAAATTGTTGTTAAAATAAAACGAGGATCGAATTTTACATATTTTTATCAATTTGATTTAGTATCTGGATATTGGTAATTATTTTTTTTAATTAGTCAAGAGTGTGATATTATTTTTGTATTAAACAGAAGTCAATCATACTATTTTATGGAGGAAGATGTTTTTGAATAGTGGTATCAACAAGATAATAATTTTCTAATAATTGTCTTTACTGAATGCAATTTGTTTATCATCTCGAACTATGGAAACTCAACGAAGAGTTAACTAAAAGTACATGAAAAAATTCCATTGTATAAAATTAGCCTACTCTTTTTCGATGTCCAACTGTCGAGGGTTCTTAAACGTATACAGTCTGTAGCACACTCGGTTTATTGTCCCATCCAAATGACAAGACGCCTTTTTCATGTCAGCCCCTCCGATTTGCATCACTGAATGGGGTAACCGGGTACAGGATATCCGAAACAGTACATGCGCTACTGTCAGCACAATGAATAATGTACCAAGAAAATCATTTACCTGGATACATATATACCTAATCCATATTCATTTCCACCTCTGATATTCATACCAATATAATCAGTTGTTTTTAATACACTGAGAATCACTTGTCTTTCTCTAATGGTAGCATGATCCATTTCACTTTCATCTCTAGGTAGTGGTACTAATTTACATTTCCTTACATCATACCTGTCAATTATAAATATTTACTTTAATCTCTTTATATTCTAGAACATCATTTCAATCATACAAAAGTAGATTATTATAGATTATATCATACAATAATCTAAAATAACTCTTGTCTGCCACATATTACATTTATATACTATTAACGTACACAATTAACAAATTAGCAATGAACAAAATATTACAAATAACAGTTAATAATTTGAAAAATAAAGATTGAGTGCAAAATAAAAATACCTTGTAACTCTTTTAAAAAAAAAGGACAGTAACTCTGTGCGATATATTTCATATATCATATACTGAATATTCAATAGCTAACTAAACTTGTTAACAAATATGAAAATTTATAAAATACAACAGAAGTTACATTTTGTACAAGATGCACATTTTATAATCAACAAAAATATCTCACGATTTACTGTGTGTCCTTCCCATTTTTTCGTAATGAAGGCAGAGATCAAACTACGATCGTATAAAGATTAAAGACTCATAATAAAAGTAGTGGGTAATTTGTATACATGACAAGTTAAATCATTCTGGTATGACTTGAATGCTTATTAAATTTTCGACCCTCCGATTTTTATTCCTTTTAGCATCATATGTCGTGTTTTGTAGGATACCTACATTAAATCTGGATTGATCGAAATGTAAGATAATACTGGTTGATAATTTGATAAAAATAAAATAACATAAATTTCGGATGGAGGCATTTCGTCAAACATATTATCAAAACTACTCTAACTGAATTAGGAACCAATGTCTCAAAATCATAACAAACTTCAGATTTTATGCCTCAAATTTATATCAAATTGAGTAACCCTATTGTGTTGTCACTATATAGTTTGTAGCACTACCTACCATATTGTCTTCTCTTTAGACTTCTTCCATTCAGGAACTTTCCTCATTCTGTTAACGGTAAGTTTTAAGTGGTTAGAACCTGTTAAAACACTTACAGCACCGTTTAAAGTGACATTATTCAGTGGAATACTATTGACGGCTAGAATTTCATCACCAACCTCGAGACCACAATAATCTGTAGGAATATAAAAAGATACATCGACATCCACAATTCTAACGAGGTTATGAGACGCCGAATAAAACGGAAAAAAAGCCGAACAAAGATTTTTGAAGCAAACGTTTAAATAACCAGGAAGCTTTTAGTATATCTATCTCGTTGGCCTATATATGTAATATTCGGGATGATATATTACGATCTTCTCGTTTTTAAATATAAGGGGTGTTGGGCAAAATATCAAAAGTATTTGGGATTCTAAGTTTATGAAATAAGCAAAGGAACCTTTATTGTATAGATAATAGGCCTAGTACTACTGTTATTATAAGAGAAGTCCACCTTTCATATACAAAATATGATAATGGAAACATCAAAAATCAAATTAGCTCACATGTTTTAATATCAATTAAGTGAACCTTTACATTAATTGTTGTTCGATGGATTTCAATATCTGATATCCAATTTTTGAACCATGGCTGTATTGTGGAAGATGGTACGCGCTTAATATATTCATTTAATATATCATGTCGTTAATGATATGTTTTTTTTATTAAATTTTAGCTAATCCCATGTTTAGATGTTTATATCCCATTATTACAATCAAGGACGTTTAGCCCTGCAGTGCCAATGACTTGAATATGATTAATGTGCTTTTGAAGCAACACCCTGTAGTCAAATAAATTGTTAAATTACATCTACTTAAACTATTTTTGACATAATTGACAACAACATATCTTTTCACAGACTTAAGATTCACTCAAAACATTGGCATAGATGCCTGTATGTACAGGAAAGCAATACATGATTGGTAGCATAAAAAACCTGAATGTTTTGGCAAAAGTCTCTGACGAAAGAGGTGAAGCGTTAAATCAAATTTCAATAAAAGTGTGAGATGTATTATACTCTTTTTTCATTCACGTTTATATTATTCAGAATATGTCATTAGTTAAGAATATATTGTGTATTTCTTTATGTAACTTTAAATACATAGCATGAACCTTTGATATTTTTTAATCTGAACTGTGGAGTTGCTTGCCTTTTGGGCTGTTTCACGTGTCATGTGGTCTCTGAAAGATTCTGTTTATTGCAGGGTTGAAAGCAAATGTTTCTGCTTGAAGAATACAGTCCTCAAAACATCTGCTCAACCACAAAAATTAGGAATATATTTCTTTTATCAGCGTTATATCCATATTATAACTTTTTAACGTCAGATATTCCATCCGAAATCTGAGGAATAACTCATACTCAGTTGTTCATACCCTTCCATACCCTTTCTCCATTGATTTGATCTGATTTAGACATAATCAAAATTGAGTAACCCTTTTCTAAACTATGTTATTTCTTAAGGAGCAGGCGATTTTAACCTACTTCCCTGAACATTAAACTAGAAAAATATACCTGCAGGTGATAAGGGGTCAATCTGACTGATATAAATCCCTAATCCATATTCTGATCCACCACGTAAACTAAATCCAATATAGTCATCGTCATCCTTTATTAATGTAAACACTTTCATATTTTTTCTGAAGCTGGTTTTCTTCTTAGTTCTATTTTCTACAATATCGAAATAATACCCTACAAATTTCAGGGTTATTACTGTGATATCAATTGAATTATTGTTACTATTGTGAATATATTGAACGATTCATTGCCCTTTCTTAGACCCAGTAACTGGGTTAATATTTTTGTCGACGGTATATTCACTTTTACCATATGAATTATAGGCCAATTGCCCAGCACGTTCATATTATTTCAGAAAGTTTACATTTTACTTTATATTTTTGAATCCAACTCAGTATCCCATTTTATTAACATTTCTATTGAGTGTCAATTTATAGATCTCAAAGAGTGTCTATTATGTGTAATGGAACCTTTTCTAATCAAAGTGTTCAAATATTTGTTTCCTTTAGAGTGGCGAAGAAAAAAAGGTGCAGACGAGAATTAATTTCTGACTAACCTGCAGAGCTTGGACGTAGAAAGTTATTTGATGAATGGTTTTTAGCTTGAACTGTTTTTGAGGATTGTTTTTCAATGGATAGTTCGTCAAATTTTCCCCTGCCATCTTCTGGAAGCATAGCTCGTACATAAGGAAATATTTTCTGTTTTTCGTGTGTGGTTAACATAAACACCATCATATGATGAAGTTTTTCTACATCTCTAGACTTTTGATATTGTCTTATAGACTTGTGAAGAGTTTCTCGTTCTAAAGGCGTAAGAACTAATTTAGCCACATGATTAAAATTTCGTGTCACCTCTCTTTGTTTCAATTCCTTTGCTGATAGTTTTTTAGTCGCTCTTTCCACTCTCCTCTGCATTTTCACTTAATTTGTATAAGCGTTCTGGAAGAATTTGGTACACCAATGCGTTAATTCCTGAAAATATGTGGTCAAGACTAAAAAGGTCGCAAACTTATCCGATTGATCTGATACAAATTCTATCAGAATCTGTAGTACATTCCTATACGAAACTACGTGTGGTTCTTAAATGGAAATAACACACTAACGTAGTTCACGGCCATGTTGATTCTCTACCTCGACCATTCTGATTTTTGTCGTTCTTGCAAATCCAGACTTTATGAAATGACTATCATTAATACAGATTAACCCAATCGTTGTTTGGCAGTTTTGTGGAATATCAAAAACACAGACTGGGGCGGGAAATCAGATTATTGCAATATATGTGTTCTTGACACACACAGTGGTTATAGGAAACCTATTTTAGAATCCCTTTAAAGTAGGGAGTATATTATTATCACATAGACCTTCTCATCTATGACACAATCTATAAATTGGATGTGGTGTTGAAGAGGTTAATATGTCACTGCAACCTCTGTGTACGTTTTGCGGTTTTTGCAATCAGTTAATCTGTTCTGTTCTGTCAAAGAGACACTCCAGTTATGTAAATAAAATATCACGTATAGCATACTTTTTTGCCTTTAAAAACACTGAAATGTATGTGACAAATTAGTATAGGAGTAGAATTTCAAAAACATAAATTGTCAGTGGTAAATATACATTTATAACAGTGGTTGTGTCACATCAGGAATCGAATAGCAGTGACCTGTATTCCCTCATACCAATACATATATATAATGGACCTCTAAATAAGTACATTAACTTACCGTAATGCTGGAAGGTGATATATCAATGATGTATGTATTCGGTAGTATGTTGAATTTGTTCCTATTTGTGTAAGCCTACTTGAATATCATCTTAGATACGTCAGATAAGTCATTTAGAGAAATGCTTTACAAATAAATCAGTAACATGTCATCCTACCATCGATTGACCTGTACAATATGTGTGAAATAAGTAAATAAGTTGAATCAATAATGGGCTGTATATGAGAAACTTGAAATATATGTTGCTCTTGTTTTATTGGAAGGTGACAGGTGTTCTGACTAAATTATCGACTTTATTTCACTTTAAACTCAGATATATGATTCATGTTGATAAATCTATAAAATACATTCTTCCACCCAGTTTTACTTATTGTATTGATGAACTGCTATGACAAGGTTATCTAATAACACTCGAATCTTAATGATTATGTTGCTTGAAAGTACAATTCAATAAAAGGCACTGGCACAGGGTTAAAGTTATGTTAATATTTTAGTAAACTCGGCTCCCATTTTGGATTTTATAGCGTATTAGTCGCGGTAAATGGTATTTAGAGCGTTTTGGCAGTGAAAGAAGAGGAAATATATAATTTTTCTGTCCCGAGCGGTGACAGGGAGAAATATTATTAAATTGGGGTATCATTTGGGAATCAAAGTGAATATTGAGTTCAGAGGGTGAAATGTTTTTTGGTTGATTCATGGTTGGTTGGTTGGTTGTTAAAGTTAACGTTCGCTTCCGGATGCTGATATATTTATCGCAAACTAGGTTGTTGGTTGATTCATCCAAAAGCTCTCCCTATATAGCAAATTACGTATTCATAGCTAAATATTGTCCAATCAAAATTGGCCCTGAAATCTTTCTTGGAAATCTTAGCCAATCAAATCAAACCACGCATGAACGTATGGCCTAAATAAAACAAAAGCATAAAAAAATTTTATTAGCCTAATATGGACGGTCCGCGGTTGCCTATGCCTACAGAATTGAGTAAGGTTTTCGGTAAAGAATTGAAGCGGAGAGAAAATCAACCCTTTCTTTGGAATATTTATCCTACTTGGAAAGATGTAGCCTAATCTGGCAAGTTTTCTACCACAGCCTCGTTCTCATGACGTTTTTTCAAACCAAGCGTGTCATTTAAATAGGCCACCTATCACAGCTCTATGATGCAGTCCATCCCTGTCCCACCTAGGACTGGAAGATGAAAAACGGACTAAATGTGCCTATAGCCTATGGCTATGCTGAGACCGATCCGAGACCACTGTCTTTATTTCAGGATTCACGTTCCCTTCCCATCTCAATCTTGTCAAGAAAATATATAGGACAGGTAAACTATTTCAAATGCAGGGCATTATAGGCTAGCAGACAAGCTTCACAGTTCATATACTCTATCGGGCGAAAATGAAAGAGAAAATAGCGTGCCAGGCAAGGTAATATACGCCCACTGGCAGCTTTGATTTTGATTAAAAATATTTAGCAGTACAGTAACAATCACCAGTATGAAATATTCAACCTTCAGTCATACACTTCTTATGAACTCTTTAGAGCGATACTGAATAATATTGAGTACGAGTTATTGCCCCGGTTCTTAAAAACGTGTTCAATTTTTAGCTCGTGAAAACTCTAGAAGGCAAATATTCAATCTTCAGTGCAGGACTGAATAATAAAACCAAATTTTGTCAAAATCCAGCAAGAATCATGCCTTTGATTACGAATACTCACACCAAGTTTCGTCAAGAATTGTACCTTCTAGAGTGTTTACGAGCTAAAAATTGAACGCGTTTTCAAGAACAAGAGCAATAACTCATACTAAATATTTTTCGATTTTTTTTGATTTTCAATATGGTTTATCCTTTGATAACAAACACTCATGTCAAGTTTCATCAAAATCCACCAAGAATTGTGCCTTCTAGAGTGTTTACGATCTAAAAATTGAATGCGTTTTCAAGAACAAGGGCAATAACTTATACTAAATATTTTTCGATTCTTCTGATTTTCAATAGGGTTCATCCTTGGGTGATTATGAACACTCATGCAAACCTTTGTCAAAATCCGCCAAGAATTGTGTCTTGTAGAGTGTTTACGAGCAATTGTGGACGGACGGACGGGCGGACGGACATGGATGACGGCAATATACGCCCCCCCATTTCATGTGGGCGTATAAAAAGCAGGCCACCGTTACGTAAATCGGTTTATTAGAGCCATGCAGTGAAAGGTTTGACTCGTCTATTTTGTACTACAATGACACGTCAATTTCATAACTACAACCCTACTTCCCTTTCTTGAGATATCTAGTGGACTAGCCAGGAAGTAGAAATATTTTATAGTCGTTATTGTCCAGTACTTTTATTTCTTGTGTATTTTGATTGACAAAAAAATATTTACGTCTGGATAAGTGTTAATGATAAAGCATGGCGGTGTAGGCTAAGGGAAACGTGACTCTGTGTCGACTGTGTTTTGTTATTGTAAATAATTCATTAATTTAGACTTTTAATTGAAATGTGCGATGTGGGAATGGAAGATGCAGATCTTTACGAAAGTTTGCCTGTTACGTCAACCATGTCGACACACATGGTGGCCGGAGCAGCAGCCGGAGTTTTAGAACACAGTATCATGTATCCTGTAGATTGTGTCAAGGTACATAACTCTTCTTGACTAAGTTAGATAAGTTTGTTTATGAAACAATACACAAGGAATTTGGCTGTACTTTTTTGTATGACTATTCCAGTTAGTCGTTAACAATTAAAAGAATTGCTTGTTGTCAGATTTTTTGATTACATTTGGTTTGGTGCCACTACAAGTTGGACAATGAATGGCTTTATTTTCAGGATGTATTCCTGATCCTGATCCTATTGTGACTATGTGTCAGTGTGTGGGTTTGTGAAGTCAGGTTAGCATACAGCTTGATCTTGGAGTGTTTGCATTAGCCTTAACTTTTTAGCTTTTCATACCATTATCCTAATTTGGAACAGGTATTAAAAGGATCAAGTTTATAGGACTGTCCTATTTATCTACCAAAATTGTTAGTAGCGTTTTGTTCAAGTTTCTTCAAGTGTTCAATTGTCACATTTAGTAAATCAACAAAATGAATGTGTTGATTTACTGTACTTAGTGAAACCCATTGTTTGGTGTAGATTTAAACTGAATATAAGGATTATAGAATGGTTCTAGATCAACTTTCTGTTATCTTTGAATGTTGTTTTGCAATTACAATAACTTTTTCTTTTTTCTTTCAGACTAGAATGCAAAGCTTAGTACCAAATCCAAAAGCAGATTATCGTAGTTTGTCAGATGCTCTTTCCAAGATTGTCCGTCAAGAAGGAATAAAGAACACTGTTAGAGGAATAAATTCTGTGGTATCTGGAGCAGGGCCTGCTCATGCCATGTATTTTGCTTGTTATGAAAAAATAAAAGAAAATTTAATAAATGTCAATAAAACAAACAGTCACATAGCACATGGTGAGTTGTATTATTGTCATGTTTACTTCAATTTAAAAAAAATAGTGTGTTTAGTGAAGTGCACTATTTACAGGGTTATTTATCTTATATTTATAGAAAACACAGCTGAATATAGTAGCTAGTAACTTTCATGATAGTAAATAAATATATGCGTGGTCGAAACAAAATCAACGAATAACATTTTAAGGATATGAATATTCTGTTATTTTAGGAACTGCTGGTTGTGTGGCTACAGTCTTTCATGATCTAATAATGAATCCAGCCGATGGTAGGTATATTTTGATTTTTGAAAGGGACAGGTTTGCCATTTTCAGGGGTTGATTTGAGCCTTGGTGTAAATAGTTTTCAGTTGCACTAGAATGTATGATAATTTTTATACGCCCACATGAAATGGGGGGTGTATATTGCCTTCACCCATGTCTGTCCGTCCGTCGGTCCGTCCACAATTGCTCTTAAACACTCTACAAGACACACTTCTTGACGGATTTTGACAAAACTTGGTATGAGTGTTCACCCGAGGATGAACCCTATTGAAAATCAGAAGAATCGAAAAATATTTAGTATAAGTTATTGCCCTTGTTCTTGAAAACGCGTTCAATTTTTAGCTCGTAAACACTCTAGAAGGCACAATTTTTGATGGATTCTAACGAAACCTGGCATGAGTGTGCGTAATCACCCAAGGATGAACTCTATTGAAAATCAGAAGAATCGAAATATATTTAGTATGAGTTACTGCCCTTGTTCTTGAAAACGCGTTCAATTTTTAGCTCGTAAACACTCTAGAAGGCACAATTTTTGACAGATTTTGACGAAACTTAAAGTGAGTGCTTATAATTACCCAAGGATGAACCCTATTGAAAATCAGAAGAATCGAAAAATATTTAGTATAAGTTATTGCCCTTGTTCTTGAAAATGCGTTCAAGTTTTAACTTGTAATCGCTCTAGAAGGCACAATTCTTGACGGATTTTGATGAAACTTGTTGTGAATGTTCGTATCACCCAAGGATGAACCCTATTGAAAATCAGAAGAATTGAAAAATATTGAGTATGAGTTATTGCCCTTGTTCTTTCATATTTTTATTTAAAATCAAAGCTGCCAGTGGGCGTATATTACCTTGCCTGGCAAGCTATCTTAATTCCTTTCAAAAATGCTTTAAACTAGGAATTTCTATATATGGCAGCATCTCTAGAAAATTGTTATTTTGTATACATGAGATCATTGAAAAAATCAACCATTTCCTTTGTTCTGTTATTATTGTATGATAAACTTCAATTATTGATTATAAATTGAATCCCAACCTTAATCTAAAAAATCACAGTCTTCAGCATCTCTTTATATTCTTATGTAATGTAGTGTTTTAGCAAAGATCATAGCTTGTCTCTCATAGTTATCAAGTCGATGAATGAAGTGAAATGCAGTCTGCCATGATATTGATCTCAGAATCAAAATTAAATTCAGTGGTTATTTTGTTTATTTCATGTATGGATAATAGTTGTGAAACAAAGAATGCAAATGTTTGGAAGTCCTTATAAAACCTGTATTGACTGTGGTAGAACAATTTTAAAAGAGGAAGGAATTGGTGCTTTCTATCGTAGTTTCACAACACAATTAACTATGAACATACCATTTCAATGTGTACAATTTATGACTTATGAAATAATGCAGGATATATTAAATAAAGACAGGTCTTATGATCCTCTAACCCATATTATATCTGGTGGGATTGCAGGTGCTATGGCTGCCACAGCTACCATGCCATTAGATGTGTGTAAGACATTATTAAATACACAGGAGCATTGTGCAAGGACTAGAGTCTCCTACATTAATGGTATGTCAGCAGCATTTAGGACGGTTTATGAATTTCAAGGAATATCAGGTTATTTTAGAGGACTGAGAGCTCGTGTTGTTTATCAAATACCATCAACAGGAATATCGTGGCTGGTGTATGAGTTTTTCAAATTCTATTTGACTAAAAAGGAGAGTGATGGATATTTACCAGTAAATCATTTACCGATGCCTCATACATCTTCTACACCTAAATAGTGTTATGTTTTAAACCATGTTATTGTTGAATGTTGTGAGTATATTTTTATTAAACATTTTTTATTATGATAGAGAATAAATACAATGGCAAAAATGTAGGACAAGACTTGCAGTGCTTACTGTTCACTAGCCTTTTCAAGGGATTTGATCATGCCATATGACTTACTGATATGATGCTATTTCGTATAAATTATTAGAAACTACCGTATCTAATTTGAGATCTGACCTAATTTTGACATTGTTTTAGCTCATTTAATATTAATATATAAAGCCAAATTTGACCAAGAATCTATCTACATAATAACATAATGACATAATAAAAGGCAACGTTGATCGAAAATAAAGGTCTGTTAGTATCGATTATGCTTAAAAGCTTTCTCAGAGGATAGATGCTGTTTATTAGTATTTGAAGTTATTCCTGAAAATACACTTAATCAAAAGTAATGTTTTTCTGAGATTTTTGTAGATAGGAAGTCAACGCTTTGGAAATGGAATTGTGATAGTAGATTTATTGGCAGAATGCAGTGCTATTTTTTAAACTGGTGTGAGAGTTTGTTCATGCTTTTTTGGAAGATAATCTACCAAGATCAGCAATATTGTGTTGTGAATTATTCTTATCACAACCTGCATGAAAAGGTGGATGTATATTGCCATTACGTGCATCCATCAGTCAATTTTTTTTTTAGCACTGAATTAACCTTTTTTTTGATAAAGCCACTTCAGTTTGGGTCTTAAGACAGACCTTTTAAACATTCGCCTAATAACCTTTTGACCTAATCCCTCCTTTAGCCAATCAAATTTCTTCCATCTCTAACGTTGACATTTCGTGAGAGGGAATTTGACGAAAGGTTGGTCGTATTAAAATTATAATGCAGAAAATCATAACTATTGAATTAGAGTCTTCTGTGATCTATAATTAGTTTTCATTACATTCAGGTGATATTGATGTCACCCATTAAGTTCAAATTTACATAGTTTTAGCCCATGAAAATTTATAATGCATGATTTATATCCAGTTAGGCTTTTGATAAAACAAGACAAAATTGTACATCAAAGGAGACTTGAAAGTTATCAGAATGTTTACAAATTTTATAGATAAGATTCATCTTCACAATGTGAAGCTATCACAAACTACATTTTAAAACTTGAAATCATTAGCTGCCATTATATGTGTGTGCAAACTAAAAAAAAAACCGGACCATCCAAATCCTTAGCAAATCCAAAAGTCTGCCTACATGTGTCCTCAAACTAAAATACTACACCTCTGTCAGCTCAGTGAACAATTTTTTCTTGCATTTGTAGACGGCTACACACAGCTGGCTTGGTGCAAAAATAGGGAGAATCCTCTTTATGATATCATTACTGTTAGGTATTCTACTCTCATCCTTTGTTTCCAGATGCAAACCAATAGGGTTCCCTTTTTCATTGACAGACTTAACGTACGGACGTCATGGTATCACATTTTGAGTTTGAGTTGTGCTTACAGCTACATGTAATTGCAGCTTTAGGTACTTTTCTTGCATCATGCAAGGTTGTAAATGCAGCGATTTCAACCAATCAGAGCACTCAAGGAGACTATTATTCCAGGGCTCTGATTTGCTGTATTGGAATGCATACAATCTGATCATGTTTTGCGTTTACACATGACAGATATATGAAGAGTGATTAGTGAAATCAAGGTGTAGTTTGTTATAGCTTGAAATTGTGAAGATGAATAAGATTAAGATCAAAGACAGAAGAGTTCTTGTAAACAAAATTTCTTCCCACTCGAGATAATAAACCTAAATTTTTGCTTTGGCATGTATTTTCATAAATTCAATACTTTGTGTTCTTAAAATGAGCTCTCTATTGTTCAATTATATATTTTATCAATTTATGATTTTGCCTACCCAATATTAGCAATTTTTTTTTTTTACAAAACATTTTTCTTATACTATATGATAATGTGAAGTTTATGACATCAGAATGATTCAGCTATAGTGTATTATGTACTTGTATGTTAAAAGATTGTTAGAGGTTTATATAGAATGATTGTGTCAGAAGCAAGGACTTTTACACAGATCTGAGATTATATTCATATAATCAGTTTAATTTCATTTATTGTTATCAAAATCAAATAAAAATATTTATATATCTATTGCTTCCCATCAACAGTGAATCTTAATCAACTTACTTGTGCAAATTGTATTTCCATTATGGTATGGGAGTGAGGGAATGATTACATTTTTTTCAAACCAGTGGGTGACAGGTATGATTTTTTTCTGTAGTTCAAATTTACTTCAATTTTAGAAAAAAAAATCATTTGAGTTTCACTCTAAGTCACAGATATATCATATTTGGTAAATACTGTTATTATATCTCCACATCAAGTTCCTAACATTTTTTAACTTGTTTTGTTTTGTTACATCAATGTGTCAGAAGACAAGAACTTTTACATTTAAGGATATAATCATATTTATATTGTTAAGTCTTTATAAACGATCAAATTATTAACCCAGAAATAAGTGACATCTTGGTATCAAATGCCTGTAACAATTATTTAAAACTTACAGTGAAATGGTAATGAAACAGCACCAACTTGCCCTTCATAAATTTATTTTGACAAAAATTTGATAAATTGAGACTTATGAAAAACTGAAGCAAGGTAGATCTTCCAATAACTGTTAGAAAGAACATTGGTGTCTAGAAAACAGTCATTGGACTTTCACATGAATTTCCTTTGTAGATATAACGGTCATTGTTTCTTATCATAATTTACAGTGTTATTTACTTTGTATTTGGTCTACAAAATTAAATCATGAAATGTTAGAGGACAGGTTTGCCATCATTTTTACCAATCCGATCTTATGTCTCCGAAACAGGAATTCTTTTATCTAAGCTATTCAGGAACAGTGTTCACAGCTCATTCGAGGCTTCAAATCCATGTGTGTCCAGAATTATCTGTGTTTGAAAGTTAAAGTGACATTTCTTGCCATATGTAAAAAGACAGAGAAATTCCTAGGTTGAGGTATTTTTGAAGGAATTGTATTTTTGAAGGTCTGAATCAAACCCTGAAAATGGCAAACCTGTCCCTTTTATGCAAGGCCTAAATTATGGTTGGATACAAAATGTTTGATAATCTTTTCTATTGTACATTGTTAAAAATATACCATTATCGGTATCATTCAGCTATATTCTCTGATGTTTTTTTTAGAGCTTGTTAAAATATTAAAACATAAGCTTCCCTTACTGATATTATTGTGATATGAAAGAGTAAACTTGTTGAAACAAATAGTCTTATTTTATCACCCATGTACATTTGTTCTTAGAAACATGCAGTCTAATTTTATGGAATCATTAGTGTTAATTGTTTAGTCAATAACTACTCATAACTTTAATTTATCACCATATTTAATATCCTGTGTTCATTTACATATATTATTACTCAAGTTCTTCTTGAAATCAATCAAGATCAATTGACAAATTTATAACTTGAAATCAAAAACTTCCTTTGATCTTATTACCATGTTTTACTCTATGTTTATAAAGAGATAGGAGTGACTGTCTCCACAGAACATAACTGACATATTTGCTCCACCCTAAGCTGTGCCAAAACTAAATTGTATTTATACTATCATTGTGTAAACAATGTCACAAATGAAGTTCTGCATATTATATATTTCAAATCTAACTAGCAACAAAATTTATTGAAGATATGACAATTAATGAATTATTTCTTAATTTTTTGTCTATGATTTTATGCAGTTTTGAACCTGTGGATTTTAGTTTACATTTACTGCAAGTCTCGACAAATCAATGACCATTTCTGTCACTTAATTTACTATAATTTAAATATGACTATGATGTAACAAGAAGACCACTCCCTTCTTTCAGACCCCTGTTAATCGTGTTATACCTATATAGCTTGTTTTTTTTTATAACAGCCTCACCCTTGGGGCTATACATATCATTTTATATCAATTAAGAGTCGTAAAGACTAGCTGAAGAAATCATATCAAAAATTGTATCATTCATTTAAATGACAATCACTATTTTGAGTTTTCACCAGAAAATACTTTTTAAGTATTCCAAAGCAGATTTTTAGAAAGATGTCAGTGGAAAACTTGTATAATTGCACAAATTTGACCAAAAAGTTTCAAGTTCTGTCAAAACAACCCTTGTTATATGTTTCACCAAATAATATTTTCACTATAATAATAGTTTATTTTGAACAATGACACAGTGCACTAAGTGTTTAATGCTATAAGTTGGTAACATTAGATAAACATCTGTCAGTAAAATAAGAATGACGATTATATTTAGGATCATCATCTGATCGTTTGAAGAAAGTTAGTAAACTGGCAGTTCCTTTAGCATCTTTATTTTCTTCTTCTTCCTCATCATCATCTTCCCTGTAATATATTATACAGATTACTGAGTTTATTCTCTGCTGAACTCAAGGCATTAATAATTTTCAAAGGACCATTATTTTGAAAAGTACAAAATCATTGCAAACTGCTAAATTGCAAATTATTCAATTTAAAATGAGTACAAAATATTAAGGGACAAAGGCAGTACCTAAAATTTTCGAAAAACATTCAAATATAATTCTTTCTTGTTGAATAACAAGAAAATTCTAAAATGTGATACAAATAGTCAAATATGTATTATACTCCATACCTTTTTATGCCATTTTGTTGTTTTCAAAGCATTTCAGTTCGCCTTATATTTGCGTTGGGTCAAAAGACTAATATTTTAGTTGCTAAATTTTGAGGATCCACATCAATTGAAAGTGTAATTTGAAATAATCCTTTTAAGTTGTCAAATAGACTTTTTATTTGCTTAATCAAAATTTACTGGAAATGTTACTGAAGATGAAGTTTGGATATGACCAATAAATCTATCTGGTTATGATCCAAATATCTGGATGCTTAATAAAGACGAAAGCATCATCATCGAAATGTCGCAAGTTATTTATTAAAGTAATTGTTATTCATATAATTGTGTCTAGTTATTGATGCCCCAGTTACTAAATGCCACTCAAGGAAGTATGAAATAACAATATGATAAAAAATATACCAACCATCTAATATTGACACCATCTTTCTCTATAATCTGAGCCGCAGTAGACCAGCTAAATCTTACAAATGATGGAAAACCAAATACTTTATCTAAACTAGATGACATGAATTTCTTAGTGTTAGGATCTGAAAATATATCACAAATTAAAATATAAACACATTTCAACTGGCTGGTATTACTTTGGAAAGCCCTGAAATCATTGCTCAGTGCTAAATTGCAAATTATTCAATTCATAATTGTACAAAATATGAAGGGACCAAGCAAGGCAATAATTAAATTTGTACAGACAAGTCCTCTTGCATAAAAAAGATCCTTTTGTTCGGATAAAATTCACTACTGCATACAAAGCTATTTGTATAAAGCTATTAACTGATAAGAGGGTGTTATTTTTACTACTATGTAATACTACAATAATGATGAATAATAAGAATATTTCAAAAAAGGAAATATTCATATAGACCACATTGATAATCAACAAAACTATGTCTAGGGCTGGGTAAAATGATTGTCCCAATTTCATCGGCTTCCCAGATGGCTCTGCTTTTCCATTTGGTTAAGTTAGTCACAAATATGGTTTGTTGTGTCCACCGTATTACATCCGCGGGGTTCTTTTCTATGTGTTTAGCAATATCTGATATAACATTTTTATATTGCCATCGCCCCTGTCCGTCCACATTTCTTGTAGGCTTGATAGAGGCTACAGTTTTTATGCGATCTTTATGAAGCTTGTTATGCATGTATATATTGATATATATTGATGAGATCTCGGTCAAGTTAGAAATTGGTAATAATCGGATGAACAATTATTGCCCTTGTGTGTACAGCGATGAGACATTGTTCATGTTTGAATTTGATGATAACTTGATGGACTGTTTCAGGTTTTTGCCTTGATATATAGATGATTTTAAGACTAGGTGAAAATTCATTATAAAGCCACTAATGATTTTGTTATCATTTCTGACAGCTGGTAGTGGGCGTATGTTACCTTGCCTGGCAAGCTATCTTCTCTTGTTGGTGTTGAAGTTTTATGTTCTTTGATTCGAACTGATAATGGTCTTGAGGTTTCTCCTATGTAACTTTCATTACAGCTACAATTGATTTCGTATACAACACCTTTCGGATCTGGGGTGGGTTTTTCAAGTCAGCATCTGCTTTTAGTAGGTTATGTTGGGTTCTGTCGCTGCTAAATATGTTACATCTATTCCTGTTTCTCTATAGATGAAGCGTTTGATCTTGTAGCTAAGTGGTTTGCAGGTATGTGTGAATGTCTGTTTTATAGTTCTTTCAACTAGTTTCTGTAGGTAGTCATTGTTGGTGATAAGGGCATTTCTAAGGTGCTTGAGTTCAGTTTCTTCACCTTTACAAATAAGTTTGGCTCTTCAAGTTAGTGTTGATATTATTCCTGTTTTGATTTGAGTGTGATGACATCTAGAAATGGTTGGTGTTCATTTTCCCTTTCCATAGTGAAATTAATTCTTGGTTCCATAGAGTTGAGATGCTGGAGTAATTCTTGTGGGTCAATCATAGTGAAGACATCGTCCACATTTCTGAGCCAGCAGTATGGTTGGATTGGTGAAGTTTCCAATGCCCTTTTCTCAAATTTTGCCATGTGCAGTTTGGTAAATATAGGACTGAGTTGTGAGCCCATGGGTAATCCATTAATTTTTTCAAAGATGTCTGTTTTCCAAGTTGAGTATGTGGAGTTAATACTTGCTTCAGTTAATTGATTATGCTATCAGTATCTAGAGTAGTATATAATTTGAACATAACAGATTCTAACGTTTTTCTTAAGGATTTAATATAGCTTCTTCAAGAGGGATACTTGTAAATCAATCTACTACATCATAACTCACTAATTGTGTCCTACTTTGGGTTGGGATTGGAGCTTGGTACACATAGATTTTACTAAAGCCTTCAGAAATTATGACATATTTTGAATATTTATAAACCATTATAACCAATCAAAGCTAGACAATACTTCCATGACACAAAAATAACCCATGACATTAAAAATTTAGGTAGGATTTTAATTAGTATTTTCAGGGCTTCTCTATTAAAATATTTTGATTGTTAATCGATTATTGCCATTGATAAGCGATATCAATTTGGTAATCGACACCCAGTCCTAGCTGTGTCCAAGATATGACTGTTTACAGTTTGGAGCAGAATTGCCTCACAGTCTAATTAAAATACTTGTTAGCTTATATTTCTATTGCAGCCAATCTGGTTTAAGTCTAAAGACTGCACTTTATAACATTTATCTGTTTGATGACACTGCCAGCCAATCAAATTTCTTTTTTCTCTAACGCTTGGATTATGTGACTCGAACAAAAGGTTATTCAGAGAAGCATTAGACTAATCTACTTAAAAAGAAAAATGCTTTTTCATTAGTTGAATAATTGAATTGGTTAATGCCAAGGTCATTGGTTAGGTCAAAGGTTATTGTTTGAAGAGAAAAAGACCATTTTTTCCTTGGATTGCATACCTGCTGGATATCCAGAGCCATATACCAAACCTTCTGTATCTATATCTTCAGCAAATACCCAGTTTTTGACAGAATAATCTCTAGCAACCTGCAATAATGTCACAAGCTTACAATTAGATTCAATTGAACTACTGGTAGTTCTCTTCAAAGATATTAACTGTTATTTTCATCAATATTAATGACGAAACAGAAAATTTCCAAAAAAAAGTTCAAGGAAAAATGCTTTGATATTTGGTCTACATTCAAATATACCAGCTAGCCGATCATGAGAACATATGCTCACTTCACAGGAACCTTGACCTTACCTTAGCACAAATACTGGCTCCACTGACAATTGGGTAGGTTGCATCAGCCTTTTTCGCCACAGTGATAGAAATGTTAGGGAATAGCTCTTGTAATTTGTTCTGATATTTCATAGGATCTCCAACTGTATCAACGTAAATCTCAAAATACAGAATACATATATTTGATTTAAATCTAAAACATCTACAGGTTAGATATAAAATCAAATTTCGAACAGATAAAAACTTCTAGATTTCCTTTACAGAATTATCTTGATATAACAAATGAAGGAGTTATAGTAACCTTGAATTATTAATATATAGATAATAGGCCTAAAGAAATATTTTTGGATTCATCAGTTTTTTGCATTTTTTATTCAAGATGAAGGGATTGTGACATCACCGAATCAAAATATTCAACAATTACAGATATACTTCCAATAAAATACATTAGAATTTCACATATACTATGAACCATCAAAATCTTATTTCAATCTGAAACCTACTACAGAAACTATGAAATCTTATAAAACATGTAATCTTGTTATCTTACCTCCATTACATTTACTCCTTTATCTAGAACTCTTCTAATTAAACCAATAGCACAATCATGTGATAAGGCATTTAAATTATACTTTGACCTAAAATAAAATAATATCAGATAAATTATCAAGTAACCTTTGCAAACCATCCTAGGGATTTTGGCATACCATATGCAAAACTGGTTAATTCTGCCTTGATAGATCAAAATGTTTGTCTACATGGATAAGAGATGTCTAAAAAAATATTGGTAAAACCTGTTTTACAGTCAAAAGTTTTTGTAAGCATAGAATCAAACAAAATGCCTTTAAGCATGATTTCCAGTCAAAATCATTAGTTGATGGTTCTACCACTATGGTTTGTAATAAATTTTGTAAGAAAATTACCATTATATATATTGGTTAAAGGATATCCTCTTGTTTGACATTTTAGTATCATCTACATGTCACAAAAAATCTGACAACACTAACCTACGTAACATACTGTTAGATATATAAGTAGGGGGTAGAATTTCAACTATCCATCCCACAACATCACTAGCTTCTTTTATTTTCTCAAACATACTATCTCTTTGTTCTTCACTTAATGTTTTTGAATCTAAAAGGAAATCATAATATAAAATGTTTTAAAATAACCATCTATCCATAATCAGTAATAATTACGCAATTCTTTTCTTTTTTTCAAATAATTTGAAATAATGTTATCACATAATTATTCTTCTAAGTAAATAGAGAATCAAATTAACTTTAGATCTATTTTTGCTTATCTTCTTCAAAATTTGTTGGTTTTACATGATATATATGTTAAGAAACAGACGACTAATTTCATAACAAAGATGACTAAGGATACCCAGTTAAATAAGTTGTTTACCTGCCAGTCCCATTTCTTTCAATTTATCTCCAGTTGTTAATGGGCTATAACATGTTCCATAAACCATAGGACCTACAAATTAAAGGATATTTTTTATCAAAATAAAATGAAAAAACATTTTTGTTTTAGATGACATTCTTGACTAAAATGGAGACTGGAATAAAATTGGAATAAGACTGGTACATTAACCATCACAGTAGCCAGATGGAATGAAGTCAGATGTCCCAGATACAATTACTTACCTAATACTGGTCCTCTACCAGCTTCATCTATACCAAGCCAACATGCTTCAGTTTTCGTAATTTCTGGAGCACTGGATTCTATGAAACACTTCTTAGATCTGTCAGACTCAAATTTACTCTGATCCATTACACAAAACTTTTCTAAAATGAAACAAGGAAATATATTGTCATTTGGTAATAAGATCTAACTTGTCTAAATATTTGGTTTCGTTTCAGAACATAAATAACTTTAATGAAATTTTTTGATAGGATTTTTTAAAAAATTTTCCCATTAATTTTATGAGAATTGGAAAAGCAATCACAAAATAAAACTGTTAGTGATAGAGTATATACATAAGTACACATTATGTCTTCAAAAGAAGACATTTTTCAGCCAAAATTAGTGACTTAAATAGGTTGAAATTTTTAGGAGAGAAAGTGTTTCTTTTAATGTAAGCTTCAGACGATTATATGTCAACACAAAGATATTCTAAGACTATCAGTACCATTTTGAGACTGATATTCCAATTCTCTTCAAAAATATTTAAAAACTTTTGAATTCGCTCAGACAATAGGCTTATTTTGATTCATTACCACTTTTCTCAAGACTCGGACCAATGTTGGGCCTAAGTACAACTCTAAACACATTTATATTTAAGCAAATCGTATCAACTCGCTGCCGATTAGCATGTGGTACAAATTAAATTGCCTTAAAGGGACATTCCACTTTTTTTGTAGGTCGAAAAATATTTTTGCTCTGAAAGTTTTAACTAAAAAGTTACGTAAACTTTTAAAGTTCATTATGCTTTTTGCAAGCTGTTAGAAAGCTACTGTACAGATTTGAGTAAAATAAACACCTAATAGTAAAGAAAAATTTCAACTAAATATAAAGAGCCATTATAAAGCCGATCACCAAAACTAGGTCAAACTGCTTAATTAACAATTAATACTATCAGTTTTAAGTTAACCCTATAAAACAAATTCAGTTTGATCAAGTAGATACATAGATAGATGATAAAAAGAGGTGTGCACTTGATTTGTGTTAGTGCTTTGGCAAATCGCTAAAATAAATGTGTATTGTAGGCGCTTTATATACATGCACACTTTGATCTATGTTGAAACGATTTGCTTAAATACAAAAACCACGAGTAGTATTTTGGAGTGGATATTCCAATTCATACAAAATGATTGTCAAAATGCAATTATTTTGTTCTGTAAACATATTGACATTCATCGTGGTTGGATAGCAGTCAAGTAACCTAATTTCGTGGAAACCTATTATTCGTGGATTTCCGGAAATGTTTAATAATTTACATGAGCGACCTTGCGCGACCTCCGCATTAGTTTGTTTTGATAAACATGGGTTTTCTCTACAATATGAGCTAGTAAAATTAATCCAGTAGTTTCAAGCAAGGTAAAATGTATTAATATATACTTTGACAAATACAAAATGGCGGATTTCACTTATTACCAAACGTCACCATTTTTTATCGGCCGAATTTCCTTATAATCCCAAGCGGTAATCGGAATTCCAAGTGTCGTCTGCTAGAATATATTCCAACGAATGAAGTCACGTGATCAACTAGCGGATTCTGTGTCAGCAGAAAATTTCTATGGAACACAAAGTGGACCATATTCTTATGTTGTTTCAGTGACTAGCAATAAATCACGCTACGTATCTTATTTTGTCAGTCACTAATTTTTTTTTAAAATCGTGGTTCTTTGAAGGAATTGTCACTAGTTATAATTAATTGATATTAAAGATAAATACTAAGAGAAGTTAATTATACCACCCGGTATCCATACAACGTGTTTTTCTAGACTTATTTATAGATCAAACATTGTACACGAAAATAGGTGACGCATATTATCGCCGTTGCCGAGTTGGTTGCTCATGAAATATGGATCAAAGTGAAGGATTCATAAAGAAAATCGAAATAAACCAATTTTAATTATTTTGTAGAATATCTGAGAAAACATCTAAGACATAAATTTTTTTTTTCGTTTTTTTAACTTTGACGAAATTCGGTGTTGAATCCTTATATCCACGAATATAGGTTACACCACTGTAGATACAGTGCACTGCCGGTACCTTAAAAAAAAAAGCAGGAATAGTTTTGTGTGTGTTCCTGAATAAAATGATTCAAACACGACTTCCGATAAAGATAGGAACTGATATATTTTTGAGAGAACGGCTTAAGTAATTCGGATTTTATAACAGTCGCATTGTTTATTTGTTTCACTCTACCCGCGGTTTCTATCGGAAGTTGACAGGTGCACGAGAGAGTTCATTTCAAGGTACATAACTCTGTATCATATATGGTATGCCTACAAACTACAAAGGTTTCAGGGAGGACCGTATCTCAGTGTCATACTTACTGCACTGGAGTATCTCAGCGTCGTATAATCTCTATATATGCGACACTGGAGTATCTCTTTATACAGGTCTGGAAGAAACGTAAACCTTTAAACCAAGTTACGATCCAAACCGCAAAACAAAACCCCAAAACATATTAACAGATAGCATCTAATAATGAAGATGAGAAAGTATATCAATAATGAGTGAGTAAATATTTTATAATTGGTATCAGGTGTCTAAAGGGTAAGCATACCCTGCCTGGCGCCACACCCGTCATAGCCGCTCAACATACATAATTAACACACATATGCACTTAGGGCTAGTCCGAAACATCTGCCTCTATTTCAGCTTTTGGTGGATATTTTGACAGTTGTCATCTGTCCGAATACCTATCAGAGGCTGGAATAGAGATAAATTTTTCGGTCCAACTTAGGGCCTGGTTATATAACGGACCAGCCGGTAGGCAGAGCTGTCTCGATTAACCCCTCGATTTACCTTGCTTGAAACTACTGAATTCATTCTACCAGCTGACATTGTACAGATAACCCATGTTTATCAAAACAAGCAAATGCGGAGGTCACGCGAGGTCGTACATGTAAATTATTAATCATTTCCGGAAATCCACGAAAAATAGGTTACCACGAAATTAGGTTACTTAACTGTATATCGTCGAGAATTCTTATGGAAAATGGGAGTCACAACCTTGAGAACTCGAGAGTCACAGTTGTGCTCACCCAGCACGTTTGAAAGGCCAGGAGAACAGAACGAAGAGGATGAAGAAGAAAAGTAAATAGGTCGAGTTGAATGAAGGTTGTTCCCATATTATTCAACACAAAGCTTTAAAGAGTACTTAACCGTTATTGTATTTGCTCAATCAGCAAATGGTCACTCGCAGCGACAGAGTTTGTTCGCTCTTCAGCGTGTCTATAGCGAACAATAATAAATGTATTTAATATGTACAGCATTTTTTGTGAAATGTATCATATTAATAATGACCATTTCATCTACCCCACTTCAAATGCATTTGGTTGTTTGTTTTCTTTTCTGTTATTGTACTTATTTATATATTATTAATCCCTTTAGAATTTAATAGGCCCTCTTATTATCTGATGCTCTCTATGAATGGATTTTTCAGCGTGCAAACAACTGACCAATCAAATTGATCTTATTCTTTAAGTGACCCACTGACGTCACGAGGTTATGCAGAAAATCAAGATGGCTTCAGTGAAGATGTGAAAATGTTGATAGACTTTTGTTATTGTGAGAGATTTCTTGTACAATATTGATTACTCAACGCAACTGAACTGCGCAACACAAGTAAGTGTATATGCCGTGTTAGTAGTATGAATTAATATTGCTTATAAATTTTGTTAAAGTGCATTATTGGCCCAATACTATATCGCTATCGGGCCGTATTTATATACACAATAAACAGAGATACCATTCTATTAATGGCATTGCATTATCGTACCGTGCTGAGGACTGAGAATGATGAAGGAGTGAGTGTAATGAAGTGAAGAAGAAGAGATTCTGTATAATCTGCTTACTTATAGAACTATTCTGTCTATACAAATTTTATGCAGCTATTCATTCTGTAGAGTGTAGGGTAGACCTACCCTACTTATATATACAGGGTTTGTTGGGGTTGGTACTATTGAGTCTGGAATGTTATTTTTAGCTAGACTTTTTCTTTTCATTAATATAATTAGATTCTTGCCTTATATGTCAGAAGTTTTCTCAAACTTAAAACTTGAATGTTTATATAGCTAGAAAGCAATAATGAATCAGTGGTTCATGGACTATCGGTATCTGCTGTCCTCCGAGCTAAATTTTTATTTTTCTAAAAAAAGTGCTTTACCAGAGATGATAGAGCCCTGTTGTTGCACTTTTCTACAATTCATTAAAAACTATCATGGATTACCGGTATCTGCTGTCTGGACTGAATTTTTTATTTTTCTAAAAAAGTGCTTTACCAGAGATTATAGAGCTCAGTATTTGCACTTTTTTTCTACAATTCATTAAAAAATGCACAATCTAGATTGTTAATGTTAAAGTTACGCTAGGATATTTTAAGTTAAAACTTTCACGAAGTGTAAGGGGCATCTTCCTCTATATGTTAGCATGCACTTAGCATGCAGTTTGATGAATATCATGCTCCAAAATCGCAAAAAAAATTATTGAAAAAAGCAGAATGTCACTTTAAAGAGGTACTCTGAATTGATTATAGTCTAAAAATTGAAGTTGTTGAATTGTCAACGAAATTGAGGTTGGATTTTGACCTGAAACATGAGATGTTAAGCCAGAATAGTAAATTGATAATTATGGTATACATTCAACACATAATTTACTGCACGTAGATATCTTCAAATTACATGTTAGGGCAGTAGTATTTGTAGTTGTTTGAAACTGTGATTGAAAAAAAGCCAAATATCTGAATATGGTACCTGAAACAGGAATTAAGAACTTAAGTTATTATTTTTATAAATGCTGTATACCAATATCTAAAAAATAGATATATGAATGTCAGAGTATTGTGTGTTAAGTACACCTGATGTGTCTGCAAAATCTTTCAATTGTCAAAATCTTTGATGTACTAGTGCACTATGGTAACATTTGTTTTATTTTATGTTTCATGTTATCATTTTACTGAACTCTCTTCTGTGCTAAACTAAATTGAGTTAATATCCTTACCAGATCATATCTCTCTATTATTTGATTTCTTTTACAGCCTACAATAAAACCGGAGTTGTGTTGAAACAGAGGAAGATAATATAGTTCTGGTTACTGAAATAGCTATACAGTGTACTGGGATATAGTGTAATAGATCATTTCTACAGGATAAAATCTTTATGGACTCATTCTGTTATCATAATTTGTGATTACTGAGTGGAATTATGATATCTGAGAAATGTGCAAGAATATTGAATGTGAAATATCCATGAAATTAAAAAGTTTGTGGAGTAGATGTGATGTAATAAAATTCAAAAAACAGCCATGGTTTTACAGAATTTGATATTCTGTATATTTTTTGTTAGTTGTTTTGGAATAAGTTTAACCAATGGATGTGTTCCGAACTGTCTTTGTACAATGCTTGGGTCTAAAGGCAAGCAGAAGAAAGGTCGGAAAGTTGATTGCTCCAAACCAGGTGCACCATTCAAGTTCCTTCACCATATCAATTTTCCGCCAGATACTGTTCACTTGTAAGTAGTTATTTTTTTCACTTAAAGGTGTTTACATTACTCCCTAAGAAAATTTTAGAAAATTCCGCACGACTGTGATTGAGAACCAATTAGCAATTTCTATAGTAATTTGTATTCATCATCCAGTCGTGTGTCACTGTGAGTTCCGGTATATTTATGATATCGCTTGATTGGTGTTTAAAGATCCTCATTATGAGATTAAGCAATTAATTTAATAATCACATGTCTCTCGTTCATACCTGGATTCTATTATTGATACAGAACGCATCAAACTTTAGCCCTACGAAGTAACTGGCTTCCGGATTAGTATTATTCATGATGCCTCATAGATCAGTGTTTAATTAATCGTTAGTTGAGAATATGTGGTTAATTTAATGATCTTGCAGGGTTCGAAATAAGCAGTATCGCATCGCAGTTTGCGATACGATTTTGGACAATAGAGAAGTTTTTTTGCGATACAAAATTTTCCTGTCTTTTAAAAAATCTGGTACTGGTACAAAAAAAATTTGTGGTCTTTGATAAAACATAAATTTTGTAATAAAAACCTGTTTTCGTTTGAACTGAGATCGTCTGATAAGCCCGCATCATTAGTCATTCATCATTATCGTATTGACAAAAGGTTGTGCCAATTTCAATTACTAGTAATTAAGATTTTATTGATAAAAGTACCTTATTTAGCAATTGAAATACTAAATACATATAGGTACCATGTATCTATACACAGTTGCTCTACTACATTCTAAAAAGTGCTATGCAATTTCAGCTGCTGCACGCTAAACTGCTGGTAAAATTTGAAACTGCTATGCAATTTCGGCCCTTAGAGCAAAAAACTGCTTTGCAAAAAAAAAGTAATTGGAACCCTGTCTTGTGTAAGCTATTTTTCGTTCAGTAATACATGAATTCACTCACCCAAGGATGAACGTTATTGAAAATCAGAAAAATCGAA